ACATGTAGTACTTTGTATACCATGTACATGTACTTTTGTTCTTTGTTTGTTGCATGAGCCCTAAAGGCAAACATAGTATTTGAATAAAGAGCGATATATGGCAAGTGTCTCAATTGGCCCCTTAAAATGAATATTTTAATTTTACTTTATATATAGCTTTAATATGTACAGCTATATCATCATCATCTTCCTTTACACCCTGTGGTGTGTAGGGCAGCAACAAAATTCCTCCACCCTTGCCTGTCCTGGGCTAGCCTTGTCAATGATCCCCAGGTCTGGTGCATTGCCTTCATCTCGCCTTCTACTGTCCTTCGCCATGATGTGCTAGGCCTCCCCCTCTTTCTTTTGCCCTCTGGTGTCCAATGCAGTGCTGTTCTAGTTGTTGACTGGGGGTCTTTTCTGAGAACATGTCCAATCCACCTCCATCGGCGCTTGGTTATGATGTCACCCATGTCCTCTTGTTTGCATCTGCTCAGCAGGTCTTCATTTGTTACCTTATCGGGCCAGAAAATTCTGAGTATTCGGCGGAGGCAGGTGGTATAGAAGGATCGCAGTTTGCCAAGATCTGTCTCCGTTATTCTCCAGCACTCCGATCCATAAAGGAGAGTTGACACAACACAGCTCTGGTAAAGCTTCAGCTTGGTGCTGGTGCTGTACTGTGCAGACCTCCAGATGTTATTCATTTCCCTAAATACTCTCCTGGCCTTGCCCAGTCTGCTGTGTATGTCCTCCTTTGTGCCGCCCTCTGGTGTAATGATACTACCCAGGTAAATAAAGTTATCTGTCTGGCGTAGTTCCTTCCCATTGATCTTAACAGGGTCAGGCAATTCCACATTAAGTGTCATTGTCTCCGTCTTCTTTGTACTGATGCGTAGTCCCACTTGCTGTCCATAGGTTTGCAACCGGTTGGTCTTCTCTTGGATATGCTGGTGTGTATGAGACATTAGAGCAAGGTCATCTGCAAAGTCCAAATCCTCCAGTGTTGAAAACAGGCCCCAGCGGATCCCCCTTGGAGAGTCTTCTGTTGTCTTCCGCATGACCCAATCGATGACCAGGTTGAACAACACTGCAGACATTACGCATCCTTGTCTGACTCCAGTTTTAACATCGAAGAAGGTGTCATTGTATCCTACTGAGCATTTAAAGTTGTCTTAAAAGCTCTTTATCAGGTGGACCATTTTAGATGGAATACCATAATGGCGTAGGATGCTCCAAAGGCTATCTCGATGTATGCTGTCAAATGCCTTCTCAAAGTCCACGAAGTTTACATACAATTGTCTCTGCCACTCTGTTCACTGCTCTATGATGTTGCGGAGTGTGAAGATCTGATCAGTACATCCTCTATGTTTCCTAAATCCTGCTTGCTCTTTCCTCAATACAGCATCAACGGCATCTGACATTCTTTTGATGATTATTTTGGCCAGGATCTTACTTGGCACAGACAATAGAGTGATTCCCCTCCAGTTGTTACAATCACTCAGGGCTCCTTTCTTTGGGATCTTGACAATCACCCCTTTACACCAATCATCAGGTACTTTCTCTCCATCCCACACAGCTGTGAACAGTGGTTGGAGGATGGTGGCTGCTATTCCAGGATCTGCTTTAAATAGCTCTGCATCAAGATTGTCACGTCCTGGTAACTTCCCGTTCTTAAGAGTCTTGACTGCATTCATTATCTCCTCCTTAGTTGGTGGGTCAGTGTCGATGTCCAGATCCTCTGTGGCTTCTGGTACGACAACAGCTTCATCAGGTGATGGTCGATTAAGAACTTCGCGGAAGTGTTCAACCCATCTCTCTTTTTGATCTTTTTCTGATGTCAGCAGTGTTCCATGTTTGTCTTTGATAGGTCCTCCTGTGTTTCCTATAAATTTGCCACACACTCGTTTCGTGATATTATATACTCTCCCTTGCTCTCCCCGTAATGCTGCTTTCTCTGCCTCAGCTGCAAGTTGGTCCATGGCTTCTCTCTTGTCACGTCGTGCAAGCTTCTTAACTCTCTTGTTGACCTCACCATACAGCTCCTCTTGCCTCTCACGCAGTCGTGGGGACTTGGTCTGCAGCATCTTTTTCTTTACTTCCTTTCTCTCCTCTGTAGCAATTAGAGTCTCCTGCTGGATGCAGGTTTTGTTGGTGTTTCTTTTTCGAAAGCCTAGTTTCTTTTTGCTGCTTTCAGTGTATAGTTGGGTCACTTGCTTTCAGGTGTTGTCCACATTGGCCTCCTCATCTTCATCATATGCATCTTGTAAGATCTGAAATCTGTTTCTTAATTCGCTGATGAAGGCAACTTTCACGGTGTTCAGCTATATATGCGACCTTTATTGGTCATTTTCATTTTGATCCAAAATGCCGTTATTTTAGAAATATGACATCATAAAAATCACGTTTTCCCGCCATTTTAGCATATTTTGTATAAAACTGCTTATTTTCAAACAGTTTTTCTTCCAGAAAATATAGAGCACAGCCTAGTACAAGCTTTATATTTTTACCAAAGATGTATCTATCCAATACTGATTAGTGACAGAAAAATTATGTATGTTTTACACTGCGCTCTATGTTTCCAATAAGAAACAAACATCAAGAAAAAGGCATATTTTTGTTTTTTTTGTTAGATAGTAAAAATAGCATGGTTTCTCATGTCATTTACAGCTAGGGAGAGTGCATATAAATGTGAAAAATATATTAGAAATATTTCTAATATAATCTTTTCTTCAAAATAAATATCAATTAAACATATATGAATGTCTTTCTAAAATGTTGATTTTTAGGGGGCCAAAATTGGCTCTTATCATATATACTCCTTTAGTTACAATTCAACTGTTATTTTTTGAGAATAAAATGATTGTATGTATGCAGCAATCTTGATATCATCATATTCTCAAAATCCTATCTTTAAAATAAAAACAAAATACATGTAGCTACTCAACTACTCTATCCACAGCATAAAAAAAAAATAATGAAAGATTTAATAGCACCTCTGAATATCTTCCAGTAAAATCAACTTACCCACTTCTGTCCCAATGTTGCCATGGAGAATTGTGATGAGCAACATCATTTCCATGGCAAGTCTTTCTGGTGTCATGGTAACAGAAACACAAGCACCAATCACAATGGCAGACAGAGCCTCGGTGACCTCTGCCCTACTGTTGCTACGGTAAACAGCCTCTATCTGAGAACAGATCTGTGACATGTTTGCTTCACTGGCCCTATAAAGAATATCAAATGGTTTAAATGTTTGTTTTTGCGGTAAGAATTCCATGGCTTCAATACTTATACCTGTAAATCTGTACAAATTTATATCACATGCTGTACATTCGGGATTTGTCAATTAACATTTACTGATAAAATTTTAAGCTAAGTAAATTTCTATGACTACCGGGGTATTAAAAAAAATTCAAAAACAGCCTAAAGATCTTTGAGTACATTAAACATGTTAAAATAATAAAACATGACTAAAGAAAAATACGTTTCTCAGCTCTTGACATAATTATCTTGTACCTATTAACAAGTCCCTTGAGCTGCTTCTGTAATCTCTCCAGCTGGAATTTCTTCTTCTCATCACTGATCTGTATCCTCTTCCCTGGGGGAACATACTTCCCTGTCTGGTCAGAGCTCTTAACAATGTTTCCCTCTTTGTCTCTTAACCTCCCATAGATGTCTTCAGTAATTTCAGTGTCCTCAATACTTTCATCACTACTTTCATCAGATTTTTCTCCTTCTTCTTCAATTTCATCCTTTTCCTCCATTTCTTCATCATTGCTATCAACATCATCATCAAATGTCACATCTTTTTTCTTTGCTTTATTTGATTCCTTATTCTTTTTGTCTTTTCTAACTGTATTTTCTTCTGTCACTGTTTTGAATTTCACCTGTTTCTGCTGCCTATCATCACTGGTAGATTTAAGAATAGATTTGACATTGGCTGCTTTTTCTGATATAATATCAACTGCTGGATGATGATCATCAGAATCTGATTCCTCATCTTCATCACTGAAGTCAAAATCTTCTTCTTCATCATCTTCATCACTCTCACCTTCATATTCTTCTCCCTCTTCCTCCAAATCATCATCCATTTCCTGCTCTGAATCTTCTTCATCATTGACTACTGAGCATATGAAAGAAGCAAAAATCTTAATTTATGTCTTTAAATATTCACCATCAAAGCTACATCTTCTAATAAGCTTTTCATAGTCTATGAATCATATATTGCTAGTTTTGAAAATAAATGCAATGACACAAAAGTTTCTGTACTCGTTTTGTGGAGATTTTTAAAAATCATCATTAAATAATAATAAGAATACATGTATATTAGTAAGTGTGAACATTTTGTTTGACAGACTTTCATTTCTTAGGTTTAAAATACCTTTTCTTTTTCCATGTTCTTCTTCATCTGAATAATCGTCGTCCTCCTCCATATCTTCAGGAGATTTGTCCAGGGCATCCAGTAAAACTGTACTGTGTTAAGGTTTCAGTGTCTAATAGCATTACACATATATGCATTCACTAACAATAAAATGTACATAAATGTACATACATGTACATTGTATGTGTTTAAGAAACCTACATTTCACATGGCACTGCAACCAAAGCAATCTCTTTCATAGCATAAAACAAGAAAAAATTATAAAAATTTTCTTATTTGCCAAATCTACTTTAAATAACATAACATGATGTATATTTCATAGAATATCTTGACAAGCACTTTGCACCAAAATGTATATTCTCTTGAAAATACTTCCATGGGAAAATTAAAACCAAATTAACATACACCACCATTAGAAATTGTGTACATAAGGATACAATCTAGTCCATCGTTGACAAAGGCCTGAGGCAGATTTTTGCTCTTCCTTTTGTTGAGATGAAGGTTCTTCTCCAGCTGTTTTAACATTCTGTCCTCCTTCTTATTGTCTTCCATCAGCTGCTGCTTTCTGTTGTCTATTTCCTGTAAATTACATAGATTAATTAATAAGAAATTTTACATTTCGTGGTGGACATAAATTTATGGGTCTCATCATACCTTGAAAACAACAAAAATTAAACCTCCACGAAAATTAGTAACCTATTAAAGGATAATCAATTAAACAAAGGATCCTATTTAATATTCAACTAAAGAAAACTTGCCTCTTTTTCTTTCATCTTCTTCATTTCTTTCATTCTAGCTTTCTGTTTCTTTTTCTTTTCTTTGAGTTTTTGAAGTGATTTCTTCTTTGTGTCTGTTTTAATAGCATCTTCCTTAGATTTAGTCCATGTCTGCATATTTGGAAGCTGAACAACAGAATTATGTGATAATTCAATGTATATTCATAAAAGAAAGAATAAAATCAGAAAAAATCAAGGAGTACATTTTTTTTTTACAAATTATAAATGCCCAAAAGAATACAAGATATGGAATATTTGTTTAATCTTTTATAATATATGATAGGGGACAATTTCTGGAAGATTTACTGTAAACATATAACATTTGGCTGTGTATTCTTTTTAGCGGCTTTGGCGGAATGCAGCAACCACTAAATCAAGTACAACGCTAAATGTTTTGCACATATACACATAGATAGGAAAATGACCAAATGCGCTAAATCAAATCTACGCTAACTTATTCAAAAGTCAATTTCGCCAAATATCGTATATGCTAAATATAATACATTTACAGTATTTCATACATGCTTTTTAAAATAAGAACTAAGGTATCCTAAACCCTACTCTGATTCTGTGTACAGCAATAGAGCTACTTGTTTTATTAGATATTTGGGGAGTTATGTATATACGTGAGTATAGTACAATGTTTGCTATGTAGAACTAGAAGTGGCTAGACTTTTCTGCAATGTCATTGAAAAGAATCTTGCACCAATTAACTTTAATGAGAAAACATTTAAAAACACTGGGGACAGGGTTAATACCAACATCTAGAGAAGATAGTACATATAAATTAAAGACTTTTCTTATGAGTAATATTCAACTCACATTTGAAATAAACATGAAAACTATAGAAATATCTCTGTATGTAAGTTTCAAACAACTTTACCTCTCTCCCACATCGATATGCATGTTTTCGAGCTTTTTTAAGTTTTCTTTCGTCTTTCCTCCTTTGTTTTCTTGAGTACAATATGTCTGTTTTTATCAAAGATCGGTGTTTATCCATATCATCGACAGCCTTCGCGAAACTCAGCACATCACCTCGATATTTCTTTAATGCGGGGGCTTCTTTGGCTTTACACTTTAGAGTGAATGCTGTTCGCTTCCTATTACTCATTCTAATTAACAAAATTGTTAAATAATTTAAAATAAATACTGAATATTTGATAAACACGTTTGATATCAGTGTGTTCACTGACTTCACGTCTTCTCACATGGGCGCAGCCATATTGCTTTTGATAATTAAAATTGCATATGTCGATCCCGATGTAATTGTTTGTTTGTGAACTCTCATGTAGTCTCCTGCAACCGGGGAGTTGGAGGTGATAAGATTGTTGTCAGGGAAATGACACTTTGCACACATACATGTGCATACATAATCCAAGTGTCATACAGAAAAAAGATGTTCATCTTGCTTGTGTACCGATAGTATTACGTCATAAGCAATTTACGTCACAATGAATGGTTTACGTTATGCGATTATGACGTCATAAATAATTGGCTTATTTCCTTGGGTAAGTAACACGGTCAACACGGTAGGAATTTTATCAAAATATTTTAAGGATATGGATATATGTGATAGACGTTTAAAATGTTTATCATGTAAAAAAAAAAAGTGAATTAATTGCACATTTGTCTCGATAAGTTAAATGGTCTAGCCAAGTGTACTAATACGATGAATGTTTTGTTATTTTATGTGAGACTTACATTATTGCGCCTCATTATCTTGAATATGATTTGAAGCTACCATATATGTTTTGGAAAAGGTCTTGCTCAAATTAAAAACACTCATATTTTTTAGATGTAAAATACACATTTAGGTGTATGTTCAACGTAACAAAGTATATGTATAATTTTATTATATTTGAGAATAACTTAAGATTTTATGTACATATCACCATCCAAATACATCGAAGCTTGCATTGATTAGTTTTATGTTTCTAAAAATTTATGTAAAAATTCTTTTCATTTTTATAGATTCTTAACATGAAAGAGCCATAGAATGGGGATATTTGGAAATGGTGCGCTCAGTTTTGGTCACTGGTTTGGATCCAGACGCCAAAGTAGCCAAAGCAACCAAAGCAGACAGAATGATCAGGCGCGCCGATTTCGATTCAAGTTTCTTAAACGTTTTCGGTCCTCTGGCGGATCTAATCAAACACTCCCAACATTCCCAATTTCAAAACATTTTGTAGACGCACTCAAAGAAGAGGGCTTGCTAGTTCCAGGGTCAAAAGACCACCCGGCCCTCAATATTTGTGTAGGGATTCAAGATGATGAACTACAACATGATAGGAGGCTGAGATACAGGTCGTACGGAAAATCGAGATGGGATGACGTTTTTGCCACCCCCGGCGTCCGCAAAGTTGCTCTAGAAATGGATGCCAATGAACCAATAATTGACGAGCTGCCAGTCTCGCTTTGGCTAAACTGTGTTGATCCCATACTTCCAGCTCTCATTTCTCTTAGTACAATGCAGAGGCGCAGAACAAACCTTACTAAATCCAGGTTAGCTTTGATCAAACTTTCCTTAAGGTTCATTGACCCTATTGTAAGGTAGTTAATTCTCATGCACTAGGATAAATTGAAAATAAATTACTAGAATGTCTCGATCAATGAAAATCAATCAATTTAATTCTTTTCCGCAGGCCTATGTAGTAAATATGTGCCAACATGTTGTGGATATTGTGCTTTATGATTGCTTTTGAAAAATTGTAACTGGTGATTGCTGCAAAATTAAAAAAAATGATTGCATCGAAGATATGAACCTTAATTAAAATATTTTAGTCTCTTTTCCTAAAATTTTCTATTTGATTTCATTAGGTTCTACATCTTTTTATTCTTTTTCAAGGCCCTCAGCAACTCCACTGCAAGACCCAAATGAAGTATCCACGGATCATGGTGATTTGGACCGAGGACCGCCATGGCTTAATGTCATTGGTCCTCAAAATGTTCACATCATTTATCTGGTAAATCTGCCCGCAACTGCAGAAGTACGACCAACAGATTTGCTTGGAAATGAGTACTATATGGAAAAGATGCGGATGTTTGAAGTTGTCACGGTAAAGTTATTAACACAATTTTGATTTGAAATTACATGCATGATAAAATATAAACTTTTCCTATTTGGCATAATTGGTTATTTTTTAGATATTTATTTCTAGAATCAGATTGCTTAATTTTTTATTGAGAAATAATTCAAATAATTCAAATGTTTAAAATTTTTATATCTAGGCTCGGAGGGGTCGCAAGAAAGTGCGATCAAAATTCACTAATATTTCTCGATCACGTGGTCGCAACCCATTGACGAACAAGAGCCAATCAGATAACGAGGAAGAAGAGGGAGGGAGTTACCATTCTGAGTCGGAGTCGGGAAACGAAGGAAATTACGATTTGATCCAAGATCTCTTTGATAATGGTGAATGATTTGGCCGATTAAACAATAGCGAATAGACATAAGAACAAACACTCAAAACATAATGTATTACCTCTGTATAATATTTGATTAATTTAGTTGCATACTTGTATATGCATTGTTTGTTTCATCAGTTTATGTGAATTTCAGATGAACAATGTTCTGTGTACACAATATTTCTTATATTCAATAAATTTTGCAAATTAATTTAATTTATTGTATTTATAATATGAGAGACTTTCGCGTGGAATACTGAATTCACATGGAACGTGTATTTTGTAGGGTCTCCTTGCACAATCAAGCTTTTTGTATACAGTTCTTTAATTCATAAGTGTTTATTCAATGTCCAATTATGTGTCAACATTCCAGATCAAAGAACTTGAAATTCAATAAATTAAATATGCAGATTTGGGTAAAGACAGATTCAAAGAAGCATTTTCAATTTTAAGGCGTGGAGGGGGGGGGCATATTTACATTTACATTAGAGCAAGGCCGGGTTCTACGGAGCAAAGATTCCTCACAGACTCCAAAAAGGCATCAAACGTTATTACAAATTACGAGAAGTCACAAGAATCAAATATCTAATTAGTGATATGTTTTCTACATAGTATACTATTATATATAATGATATTGAAAACAATACTGGGGAGCTAGTTCCTCGACCTCCAACTAGAAACATTGATGAAAAGATTGCGTAACGTACATACATGTAACTACATATAAGTTCCAATGAACAAGGTGTTAAGGTATAGACCAATACTCAAGTTCCGAAAATCAGCTTTTCAATAAAAGTTATGGCGAAGGTTAAAGTTGACAACATACATACAAACGGCAAAACAGACATAACAGACATTCTTGACAATTTGACCTAATTTCACCCAAATGGATATAAATGGACCAAAATGTAATTTTAAATTTATTTATTATCGTATTCTCAAGTTTTAACTTATATAAAATATTTTTAAAAAATAAAAAGGAATATTGATTTTTTTTTTAATGTATTAAGGATGAGTGCACTTAAGCTATGAGAGTTGGGTCCCGGTGTTTTGCGCAAAATAAATCCCGAATTTCATTAAAATTATGTTTTATAGGTATTAAACATGTCTTAAGAGCAGGTTTTGGTCTATTATATTACATGAAAGTACTAAATAATGCCGAGCGACACTAGTTTTTGAGACGGGGTCTAACAGTTTTGTCACATTTCTATTGTTAATTATTCATATGCATGCCAGTTTTTAACGACATTGTTTACATCGAGCCGCAACTTGGCCATTCGTCTCATTTGCACAGAATGTGTATTTTAATTTAAACTTATACATATCCAAAGGACGATATTGGCCAAGTTGCGGCTCATATCTATTTTTTGAAAAAGTCTCCAAACTACCGTCAAGTTAGCCACTAAATTAACAGGTCCCCGAGTGTCAACGATTGATATTATAATCACTTTACTCACGTGACATTCCACGGTTCGATACGCCAACGCTTTCATTGAACATTTCATTGTGTTTCTCATTTGAGGTTTCTGTTGGGAGAGTATCTTTCGTACTTTCAACTTCAAACTATGGAAGATTTTTGTGCAAATTTTAATAAGGTTCGAAGATAACTTATTTTACTGTGTATTTTTCGTTAGGAGTGTTTTGAAAGAATTCTGGTACTGCAAGGCCGTAACTACCATTGAGGCAAGTGAGGCAAATGCCTCACTAAATTTTTAGAGTTTTCTTAAATGTGAAAAAGTATTACATTGAAACTTATGGATTACTAGTATGTGTGTCTTCATGTTAAATTAATATTTTCAACTTTTGTTTCAATTTCTGTAAATCGTTCATATCTCATCAGGTGCCTCACTTTCATTTGGAACGCATGTAAAATATAATTCAAAATGTTTGTTCTGTAAATTGTTTGATTGTTTAACATCCCTTCCAGAGACATAAAAAATATATCTCTGTCCCTGCTAAGACTTTTTCATTAATATTGAGACACCAGTACTTTCCGGTGGAGGGCTGCAAGTTTTGAATTTATACATGTACAGTGGACCCTCATATATCCCGATGCTTCAGTATCCAGACGATTTTTTATCGGAACGTAATTTTTTAACGTTGTTTTGTTCTAATTAACTGGTAATTCTGGTATCCGGACGCTTCACATATCCGGACAAATTGACTAGGAATCAAAGCGTCCGGATAAATGAGGTTCCACTGTACTGGGCTTTCGGGGTCACTGAAGATGATTGAACAGTGAGAGATGTTTTTGTGCCATCATACTGTGACATAGGACCTAGCTTTTTACGGTCTCGACTGAAGAACTGGTCTCAACATCCCGCAGTGGGATTCGAACCCGCAATGTTAGGATCAACTCCTTAGTTTTCGACTCTAGAGCATACCCTCTAACAAAACGTAAAAACTTTCTAAGATTAAATCTTTTATTTTCTAATATCCAGGTCTCAGGACCCCCCTCTCCCGGAACCCCCCATCACTGGACATCACGTACTACCCTTGCCCCATCTGGGACTAGTAATGCCCAGAACCCTTGGCTCACTAAAAATGTGAGCCTAGTTACGGCCTTGTACTGGTAGTGAGATTAGTAAATATAGGCCCATATCGCCTCTGTATTATGGTCTACAGGGAGATACATCTACCCCATCTCTAAACACTAGAATCATTTATTATTTGTGCATCATCGATGAAACTATTGCGAAAAAAATCATATGTGCTATATTGTTTACATTCCACATCCATGCGATTTAAATGTCTCCGCATATATGTGGGTACCTTAAACTCGATAGTGATCCCGTTCAAATTTCCGGAATTTAAGGCTTATACATGTTCTTGTCAATGACATTGTCTGTAATTATAGAAATTTGTATGACAAAAAGTTCAAGGCATAAATATCAAAAGCATATGCTTGCACAATAATCATAGATAAATCTAGCGATTCATTGTAATATAAAGATTAAAACTGATTGCCGAAATGGTTCCAAATAACGTACTAAAGTGCACTCTTTCTTTCTTAAATTATATTGTAAAAATATGATTTTTTTTCTATTTGTAATAATTCCATTTGGGTTCATTTGTTTCCATTTGAGTAAATCGACGTGTCGCTTTATTTTGAGACTTTTTTAGTTAATTAATAACTTTCAGAGTAATCATTCCTAAGTGGATCAGTGTACATCACTAGGTATGCTGGTACTTTCAGTACTTTCATCCAAACGAGAATGTTCATAAAGATCGGGTTCAATATTACAAAAAAACTTAAAATTGCGTCAACCAATGAAAGAACAGTTCACATTTTCTGGTGAAAATGAGTACCCAGAAGTCGTCAATGATAAATACAAGAGAAGAACTGAATGAATTAGTACGAAGGAGGACCGAAATAGCGGTATTTGTTATTCATACAAGTCATTCTATCATTTACTAACCATCCACTTGGGTTTAAACATAATCTGTGTGAACTGTTAACGAAAATATTGTGATTATGACGCTGTTATGACGAGTATAAATGGCGGGTAAATCAATTTTTGTGCAAGCAAATAGGCTGCAAGCAGAAAAATATCACGAGCTTGAATTATTGTTGATTGCTGCTATAATATGACGACATGTTTAAAATCAATTGTTTAAAAAACTCGAATTTTCGAAAGTAATGTCACTGACAATCTGATATTATCAGGGATCTCGAGACTAAAACGGTTGACTTTTATCGATACCCCTTTGCCTTCAGTCAATAAAGATGGGGAGTTAAAAAGATTTTTAAGCAAAATATAATATGTTCTACAGTGCGACCGTTGGGGCGAGCGCAGTTATTTACTATCAAAAACCTTTTGCACAGTTATTACTTGCACTGCCTATCCTCAGTTTATTAAAAAAAAGAAAAGAATAAAAAGAAATCACTTCTCAGTCGTCGGGATCGAGATTCCGAACTTTTCGGAAGTTTCCGACAAAATCGGAAATACCCGAGCCATTTCAGTGACGAAAGTATGACGTCAAATAGAAAGTCCTGTTGACTTAGAACGCAAACGATTGTTTTGTGGCACAGAGATTGCTTTAAATCGTTGTTTGTAATTTTTTTCAAGTAAGTTGTTGCTATGTTTTAGCCACCATGTTGCTATGCACCGCAAAGGATTATTGGGAGTTTGGAATTTTTTCATGCGGTGAAATAAAAATTTCTTGAAACAATGTGCAGATTTCAACCCCAATTTCCTCCGTTTGTACACGTTAGTCTATTGAGCTCGCTACGCGAGCGGCGCTTCGCGCCGCCTCGCTGCGCTCGCTTTAAATGAGCCATTCCAAGCAAAAACCCCCCTTATGTAATCTGACAAAATTTTACGTCACAATAGAAAAAGCGACGTCATTGTTTTGCAACAAAAACTGCGATCAAAATATATCGCGCACTGACTGCGTTCCAACTATATGCTTTGTTTTACGTCACAGAATTTTCTCCGTTGTGCTTTCTGCATATTTTCTTTCATGACTTTTGTCAAACTACATGTGCATTACAGCACTAGACATTAATAAAACAAGCTAAGAGTGTTCTGATTAAATACATAAAATTTGTCAATACAATTTATCTGTTCCATGTACAATATAAGTTTTCAGTTAAACTAAATAAAACATTTAACTGTTGTTTAAAATTCAGATTTACGACTCTTTCATAATCAGTAACAACAAAAAAATAATTACATGCAATGATCATATTGAGTGTAAAAATATTTTTAAAAAGGAGGGATGAGTAGTTTGAAATGTGTATTATTAATCCGAAGTCTTGGCGAAAATTGATTGGACTTAATCACTTGTCAAGACAACTGCACGGGAATTAACACCAATCAAAACTGAATGACAGAATTGTTAAACGGCACCAATGTCAGATTGAAATTCGCGGTATTTTTTTCATTTATTGTAGACCCAGAACCTCTTGGGAAAAAAGTGACAATTAGTTCAGCTAACAAAGCTACATTAATTGAAAAGACGTATATCCGACATTCTTCTTCTTTGTTTTGTGTTGAAAAGATCGATAACTTGTTAATAATGTTGTAACACCCACCCACCGACCCCCCTCCCACCACCACCCCCAAAAAAATTAGAATATATTTAATAAAGCATATTAAGAAATAAATACATACATGTATCATTTTACAAATTTTTGGAAGTTCTGAACAGTACCGTATTTGATATGCACACCTACATTATTGATAATTGCTTGTCAAGTTATTCTACCCCCCCCCCCCCCCAGCATCATTGCATGCTGATGTTAACAGTGAAAATTTACATTCAGAATAAAATGCGGAGAGGGGCCCCCATGCACCCCCCAGATTTGTTTTTTATGTACATGATTGTAGGCACAATATTTGTTCACCTGAGTGTAAATATTTTAATCATTTTGGATTTTCCTGATCTACTTTTCGTCTAACGTAGCAAGAAGTAAATGTTCGTAATTTTCACCAGGAAGATCACATGCAGGTGAACATAACCTGATTTTTTTTCCACAATGCTAGATCTTGGAAAATTGGAGAGCTAGGAGTATTTCTCATATTATAAACACTTTTGTCGAATGATTTGAAAAAGATCTGACATGTTTTTTAATTAAACGCATGTTCATGGGAAAATATTTAAGCGTTATCGTTTTTGTTTCCTGTACCAAGACAACTCTTTGACATTGTAGATGCAAATGTGGAAAAAATAAAATGAGAAATAATAGTGAAGTTTATTTTATCAATATATTGAGATTCCATCAGGAGACAATAAAATGATGGAAATCGTTGTATAAACATGGGATTTTCGATTTGCTGTTCAAACAATTATCCTTAAACAACGTTTGCAACGATACAGAATTTCAGTTTAAAGTGCTTTAATGAAAGATACAAACAAATCATTAAATGAATGATGTTGACAACACAAAGTATACATAATTATGTTTGTCTGAAAAGCTCCTAAATTTTTGCATGTCGTTTAGATAGGCCTATATCTCATTACTTTCCATATTTTTGATCGGTCACCCATCCAATGGTTAAACATGCAGGCTTGCCGTTGCTTAACTTGCCTGAAATAGAGAGAGACTCTAGCGCATCACTAGAAAAGCTAGCTCAATAGCGAGGCAGTATAAGTTCCCTATATACTGTCCGCTACAGATGTCAAACACAAAAGTCGGATATATCTTGTATGAAAAAGGTTTCTAGATAACTTCGGAAAGATCTGGTATAAACAAAGGTTCTTGATAACTTGTGAAACTTCAATGTTTAAAGTTAAATAGATTGATTGATTGTATGTTGTTATACATCCATCTCGAGAATTTTTAACTCATATGGAGACGCCACCACTTGCCGGTGGAGAGCTGTAAATATTGTCCTATAACCGGCACTCAGGGCCTTTGGGCAGTGAGGGATCTTTTTTCGTGCCAGCTCTAACTGCGACAGGGGACCGTGGTTTACACAGACTCATCCGAAGGACCGGTCTCCAAAAGTAACCTACTCAACCCCCCCCCCCCCCCTACACACACACTTTCAGAACACGTGGACTCCTAGGATGGTCAGTTGTTCGAACATTTGATGTTAATGAAGTGACAGAGAATGGCCAGCATTCCTCCCTCTTCTGCACACAATGGAACTTCTTTGTGTGTGTGTAAAATGTTGGGTAGACTGGGATAGAATATATTTTACTAATATGTGAGAAGCATTTTATTCGAAAGACAATCCAATATGAAGATTTTGCAGGTAAAACATGTTCTCTTTTCCATAAAATTTCTTTATTTGTTTTTTTTTTCTATGTAGACGGTAATCAAATATTGTACATTTTGTGTCGAGGACTTTAAAAGCTGCTCTGAATAGACCCCTGACTTACACGTTTTTCTTAGTCTCTAAAATATATTTTTTAACTTTTGACTAAGTGGTGAATTTTCAGAGGACCTTCATAATATATTATAAGTGTTGACCTGTGAAACTTGCCTCATAACAACTTGTTGTTTAAAAAAAAAAACAACAAACAAACAAACAGAAAACTGAGACATGTGTGTTTTTCAAAAACTTTATACGGATCGTATAACTGACTTAAATATTGAAAAGTTTGTCTAACTTTCACACGAGGATCATAATTTTGTTGTTAGATATAGATGGGACTGTATGTTTGGCAGTCTTCTATATATTAATTACATGTACGTGATTGTACAGTAGAAAATATAAAAAAAAATTTTTAAAAAGCTTAATCAAATGCCTTGCTCATTTTCTCAGTTTTTTAGGTCATGTTTTTATTAGTTAATTCACCATTTGAAATCTGAAAAGTACACTTTAACTATTCATAAATTACAGATTTAACATGTATATATCTAGTCTAAATTGCCTTTATACTAGTACTTATATATTTATTCTTTCATTGCAGCCCTCCCCCTTTCCTTTTAATATTTTTTAACAAATGAGGACATAATTAAGCAAAGAAAATGCATATGTAGTTGAGCATTTAGAAAAAAAAGGATAAATTGGTACTCATCATTTACATTGATATACCATACTTTACAAAATCCATATGTCGTGTTCATTGATAAGAGCGCAAGCCCCTGCCCCTTTATGCTGTCTCTTGGTCAGTGTTTTGAAGGCAAAGGTTGGACAAGTAAAATCAATTATCCAAAATAAATTGATGGGAACTAAAATATTTTTGTTGTTGCTGGTTTGAAAGATTTGGACTGAACTTAAGCGGTAAAATTGAAAGTGAATTTTACTTAATAAAACACCTATCAATTATTTATGAGTTTTCTCTAAGTCAGGGAATCATAGGATATTTGAACTCCATTGGCATATTTTAATTAATATCAGAAAAGAATGAACTGAACTATTTCATAAAAAAGAAAAAAAAATGTTTACAACAAATTAAGCTTATATATATATTAAGCAGAACGGCAATACAATACCAAGTTAATGCGTATAAGTAATGCGTGTTTTTATTACGTCGCTATAACGTCGACGTCGCTACAATAGAAAAATAAAATATGACGTCGGCCGTATAAATGATGCATACTTTGAATACCTGTAAATCCGTAACGGAGCAAGATACACACGTAATATTTACAGGTTATATTTACCTAAGGTTCTACATCATTTTTCAAGAAAAAAGTCATTTTCGAAAATTTTTGACATAAGGGGGGTTTTTGCTTGGAACGGCTCAAATGATCGGAAGATTCAATTCAACCCACCTAAATTCTGCTGTAAGGTGAGAGGAGAAAAATGCATCGATAGGCTACAGATCAAACGAATGCGGGTGGTTTCACTCCGATTACGTGTTCGCGCCGAGTGGTTTCGCTCCTATCACTTGTTCGCGCCGAGTGGATTCGCTCCGCGTGGGTTCGCGCCACTGTATTACTGAAGATACCGCTTATCGGATAGTCGTGTGATTATCGTTTGATCACTAATGATCATGATGATGAGCATATTAAATTAAAATAACAATGAGAGAAATATATACCATGAACGACCAATAATTTAAGCAACGTTTTAAAGGGCTGATAGTAAATATGGCATATACACAATAACACTCCCTGCATATATATAATACATGTAAGATATAAAGAAAGGGTGATTGCGATGAAATGGGAAGTCTATAAGAATAATCGTCTTCATGCAGAAGAATCCTTGTTCTACATAATTTAATATTGTAAATCTAATGAAAAACAATGACAACCTTCATTGAAAAGTCAACGAGATTTGTGAAATAGATATATTTATTTTAACAACCAGTCCTAAATCATTCCAAATTAGACCATCAAATTTGTTCAAATAGTCTTAATTTGGCTATAAATGACCTCACTATAAGTATTAATACAAAATGGGATAATTATCCGACATAACACGACATTAACGCTTGGGGTTAATTAATTACAAGCTACTAAGTTATAATTAGAGGTAATCGGGGGAAGCCATTCTGTATACTACCCATATCTTACCTGTAGATAAAGGGGGCGAAACCGGTTTATTCCCCGAACGTCTAAAACCTATATAAACAGTATAATTATCACACTCAATTAAGAGGCCCTCTAAGGGGCAAGGGTAGCGTTTACCTGTGTTGCCTGTGTTGTCTTGATTTAATATTCTAAATCAAATATATTTAATTTTCAGATAAAATATGAAGTATAAAATATATACCAAACCATAATTTATTTTATTAAATAACTATATTTCAAGACACCAAACAAGTGTTTTTTCATATGAATATTTTTATTTTTATTTCAGTACATTTCATTACAAGCACTATGACACAATGTATGTAAACACTTTGAGCACTCTTCATTAAAATCACATTTTAAGTACTATTTAATATGCTTTTCATACCTTATATTAATATGGGAAGCAGAGTTTATATCACTTCAGTTCTATACATTTTTTAGCACTTTTTTCACATTTATTGGGTTTAATCTCTCATCTCATAAGCTCAGATTTTGAGGCTGGGACAGGTGTAAAATGAGCCATCACAGAAAAAGTCTTATCTAACTTTCAAAGTAAAATAGCTGATCTAACCAGCCTCGTTACCAATTATTCATAATTTATGTTGTTAGTTGAAATTATATACATAATACATAAAATAAAATTAATAATCTTAAGATTTAAGTTTTATTATGGAGACTTAAAACGATTTTGAAAATGATAAATTGTTATTACATTAAATGTATTCAGAGTAAATGTTTAAAACTTCAGCTAAAAACGGACATTAAAAATTATTAAGTACCATAAAAAAATAAAAGAATTCAACGGTTGTTTTGAAAAAAATTAAATAGAATATATCTACAATGTCAAGATCAACACAATAAAATAAACTTTTTTTCTAATTTAAATGAAGGTAGTTTTATACTACAAAATTAAAATAAATTCTTTAAAAGTTTACGTAGAAAAATATTTTTAACATTTGAAAAACATTTAATTCAATTTATAGGAATTATTGGTAAGATTTTGAAACATTGATTAATATAGATTGACTAAAATACCTAGTAAATACTTTGAACATTTGAGTAAAAAATATTAAAAAATTTGAAAAACATTTAATTCATTTTATAGGACTTATCGCTAAGATTTTTCCTATATAACTTATAAGTCTTTGACACAGTTTCATAAAGGCAGGTAGTTTATTCATACAGTTTAAGACACAGGTAACACAGATAACGCTACCCTCGCCCCTCAGAGGGCCTCTTAATTGAGTGTGATAATTATACTGTTTATATAGGTTTTAGACGTTCGGGGAACACACCGCGAAACCACTCGGCGTGATACCACTCGGCGCGAACACGTAATCGGCGCGAAACCACACTACACTGATCAAACTATTCCTCTCTCGACCTCAAAAGTCTTTGGTCCCTCAAAGACCAAAACCCAGGCTCATCCCTGGAAGGCTTCTCACCTGTCAATTCCAGGGCATGGCACCAAATGTAATGGTAGAGGAGTAAAATGCAGCGGACCAGATAAGGATTTGAACTCGAGCCCCTGGAGTCTCCAGTCAGGTGCTCTATCAACTGAGCTATCCGGCAATCGGCGAGTAAACCACACTATCAAATGATCCAAGTTCTGGAGAGATATCTCTAATCACTTTGTGTGGCATTGGTCTGAGATTCATGAAACATCACTACAAAAGTTTCTACAAATCTCACTGAGGTCAGACCGGTGCATTTTTGTATTACTGGAGACCTATTAACTTGTAACAGGGGGAAAAGTGTCAGCCAGAGTGGGACTCGAACTTGAGACCTGCCATTGACCGTGCGAGTGCTCTTACCACTGAGCTAATGGGCCAACATACCCAATCCCATGTTACACTCCTCCCCTGTCTTTTTTTGAGATTTTCTATCCTGAAAACCTCGCCAGTACTCTTCTAAAACACGCAAGGTTTTTATTGTTTGGCGCCAAATGTAACAGGTGGGGAATAATGAAGGCCAGACTGGGACATGAACCCAGAACCTCCGCTAATGGTGCGGGTGCTCTAACCACTGACTGAGCTACCGGGCCGACACACCCAATCCCCATTACACACTTATATAACTTAGATCTGCCTTTCCAGCCACTTGACACATTTTGAAATTCTGGACTGTGGGGTCACAACATAATAGATAGTTTTTCAACTGGCCTGAATTTAGAAAGAGTTATTTCCTCTTGGTGGCCATATTGGAGGTATACAAGCCAACAGGCCCAAATTTTTTCATTATTCAACCAGTTTGAACTTGTCATGCTTGGTAATTGTGCTATGAAAACACAATTTTTCTTACGAATTTATATTTCAACCCCAAGCTTCCTTTGATTGGTAATTTCAGTATTTAAAAGATATTTGCTCTTATATTTCTGCTATACTAGTTTAAAATTGGCTGTTCAAAGAGGAAAATGCATTAGTTGGACCTCCAAATAAATATGACTGTGTTTTGATTTTTTTTGATTTGCAGTCAAAATATCAAACACTTTATACTCTATACTAAAGATTTAAATCAATAAATGTATTTTAATTTTTTTCAGGATACCCTTGCCAATCTCGAAAGACAGATTTATGCTTTTGAAGGGAGCTATTTAGAAGATACCCAGCTCTATGGAAATATTATCAGAGGATGGGATAGATATTTAGCAAATACAAAGTATGAACAAATTAATACAAGGCTTTCTTATGAAGGGGTGTTATGTAAACATTGAATGTAATTACATTCATTTAAAGTCGTCTTTCGCCAGTTTCGGTTCTTGAGCTGAAAACATACTGTATAGGAGTTTAAATTTGTAGGTGTTTAATTTCAATTTTTTTTTCTCTGACAATTTGTTGCAGGAATCTGAATTCATGCACAAATAAAAATGCTTTAAATTTCCTAACAGTGAACTTCTAACACATAAATTATTGTGTTAATGTTTGTGTAAAGCGCAACATAGCAAGAATACAAGTCTATTGAGAATTCAGAGTTATCTCCACTGTGCAGTATTTATGTAATGATAGTCAGGGGTAGTAGAAATCATGTTCATCCCCTCATGTTTACATTAATCATTTACCCGTCTTGTATTGATCCTGGTACATTTTAGTCTTTTGAGTGTAATTCATTTTAAATGTCAATGAAGTATCAACCATTATCACCATAATTTTCATCATCGTGAATTGCGCCTAACGTCAAAACTTTCTTTTTACTTAAATCTTATCTTTTCATGTGAGTCTTAGATTTCGTGCTTTTAAATATATTCATGCGTTTTGTCATTTCATGTTCATTTCATCCCCTTATTAATCCCCATCCAATCCTTAGCCTCTTTTCTAGAAACACAAACAGTAAGGCAGACAAACGGAACAGAAAATTCAAGGAGGCCGATCGTCTCTTCTCCAAATCTTCTGTCACATCTGCTGCTGTGAGTGAAATTTGTATTTAGCTAAAAATCTGAAATGGTTCTTCTTCGTATGCTAAGCATGATTTTTTGATTGGATTGAAATGTTGCCAGACGTACAATTTTGAATTGTTTTCACAATACATTTTATCATTCTTTATATTTAAATTATGTACCATGATAAATGCATTGACAGTTTGATCATTTTGAAAACACTAATCAGGCATTGTTATACCATAGAATGCAGATAACTAAGCCATATAGAATAGATGTCTCTAAGCAAAATTATTTTAGGGAGAGGGCTAAAATAGGCTGAGCCTGCTGCCCAATCCTATTCATATTAACATCAGTGAATAAGATACTGTTTAAATTAAAATGAAAATTATTTTATTTTTTAGGCTGTCAGTGGTATAGTAGATTCATTTGACAAAAACCGTAAGTATTTGGTTCATAAACTATACTTTTAGAATCATTGCTTTCTTAAACTTTAACTAGTTGAATTAAAACTAAATATGAAAAAGAAATGAAGGAACTGGAATATAGGAACAACTGAAGTACAGAAATAATTTTAGAAAGTGTAGAGAACCAAAATGTTATGGGAAGTAACTGTGTACACACATTGTGTAATTTACTTAAAAGGTAGTAGAGGATTTTGTTAAGTTTCTTCAAAGAACTTGTATCAACAAAAAAATATTGTGTTTTTAGCTCTACTGGTCAGAGACCAGAAGAGCTTATGCGATAGTAATGCGTCCGGCGTCCGTCCGTCTGTCTGTCTGTCTGTCTGTCCGTCTGTCTGTAAACAATTTTTCAAAATGCTACTCCTCCTACAGTTTTGGTCTGATTTCAATATAACTTGGCACACAAGTAGACTACACTAAGATACATAATTCTGTGTATCGGTTTTTGATTTCGATGAACAGTGTTGCCGTGGTTACTAAAAATAGAAATTTCTGTGAAATTCTTTTAAAATGCTACTCCTCCCACAGTTTTGGTCTGATTTCAATATAACTTGACACACAAGTAGAATACACTAAGATACATAATTCTGTGTATCGGTTTTTGATTTCGATGAACGGTGTTGCCGTGGTTACTAAAAATAGAAATTTCTGTTAAATTCTTTTAAAATGCTACTCCTCCTACAGTTTTGGTCTGATTTCAATATAACTTGGCACACAAGTAGAATACACTCAGATACATAATTCTGTGTATCGGTTTTTGATTTCGATGAACGGTGTTGCCGTGGTTACTAAAAATAGAAATTTCTGTTAAATTCTTTTAAAATGCTACTCCTCCTACAGTTTTGGTCTGATTTCAATATAACTTGGCACACAAGTAGACTACACTAAGATACATAATTCTGTGTATCGGTTTTTGATTTCGATGAACGGTGTTGCTGTGGTTACTAAAAATAGAAATTTCTGTGAAATTCTTTTAAAATGCTACTCCTCCTATAGTTTTGGTCTGATTTCAATATAACTTGGTACACAAGTAGAATACACTAAGATACATAATTCTGTGTATCGGTTTTTGATTTCGATGAACGGTGTTGCCGTGGTTACTAAAAATAGAAATTTCTGTTAAATTCTTTTAAAATGCTACTCCTCCTACAGTTTTGGTCTGATTTCAATATAACTTGGCACACAAGTAGACTACACTAAGATACATAATTCTTTATATCGAATTTTAATTTTGATGAACGGTGTTGCCGTGGTTATTAAAAATAGAAATTTCTGTAAAATTGTTTCAAAATGCTACTCCTTCTACAGTTTTGGTCTGATTTCAATATAACTTGGCACACAAGTAGACTACACTAAGAACATAAAGAGACTTTGTCAATGATCATTATTCTACTTTTTGCTGTTGTTAAGTTTCAAATCCCAGCTGCTTAAGTACTTTACTCTTCCTTTGCTATAAGTTCAAACCAGTAGAGCTTCAGTCTCGACAGAGACTTCTGGTTTGTCAAAGATTGGAAACTGACTGTTTTAAAAAAACTCAAACTCTTGGTGTATTACAAAGAAAAAACATCACAGGATAACCAAATCGTAAATTAGATTGTGAATTTTTGTGACAGGTGACCGAGACTGTCCGTCTAGTCCAGACTCCCAGAACAACCAGAACAGTGCCAACACGCCACAGACAAACGGACAGTCCGACAGCAACGAGTCCAGTCACAACCACTCAGGGAAGCTACACAAAGGGGGCGGGGTTATACGACACAAGAAAAATAAAAGCAAAAAACACAGGTAGGATTCTTGTTACTGAAACTGTGTAAAAGTGTAATTGTGTGTGTTAGTTGTTATTTTCATTCATATTATTTTATACATGTATATTTTGGTATTATTTTTTCAGAGTTGAAGTGAAACTAAAAAGAGGAAAAGATGTAAGTTTAGAACAATTGTTGAGAATCGACAAATATATAAAGTTAACTTTGTAAAATTAATGATCTTACATACAGGTGTATTTTAAACATAATAATTTTTTTCTTTATTGTGAATTAAACATTTGTCAGTCATTGAGAAAAAAAGGGAAACAACCTTCATTAATGTTTAAAAAGTACAGTATAAATAATCTTTGTACTTCAGAAATAAAAGTGGAAAACACCTGGAAAGGTATAGAACAGTGGGTGGTTCTTCATAACATTGTATTTTACACATCATATTTTCATTTCTGTGGTGTCTAGTTGCTAATATTACATATACATATTATCAATGTATTCAAGTCAAACAATTAATATGACAAATTCACTTTGGTTTTTACGATTCCACAGGCAGAAAAATCATAATTTTCCATCACATTTCTCTTTATAATTTCAATAGGAATGAATTACAGTAAAATAAAAATAATTTAGCACACAATTTATTTCAATATGTCTTGGTATAATAAAACACGATAATATTTGCACTATTTTTGGCTTGTTGGTATTGGGGGGGGGGGGGGGGGGGAGAAGAGATTGTATACCATTTACCCAGTACATATGCTTTAATTGTTTAATGGTTCATCCAGAGTTTTCCAAAGTTTTTATATGATTTACTTTAGAAGATAATTAGTAAGTTTCCAATTGGTAAATGACTGTTATGTGCACATTATACAGTTAGATATAGTGGTGCTTTTTTTCCTCCCGGAACATACTATTATTCACTTTTGTCTATGTAGACACTATCATTCTATCATTCTTTATTAATCTATAAATTAATATGGCAAGAATGATTGAACTTGTTTTAAACCTTGCCTACATATCCTAGTACAGTGGACCTTCAGATATCCGGACGCCAGATATCCGGATGCTTCAGCATCCGGACGATTTTTCATCGGAACGAAATTTTTAAATGTTATATTGTCTTGTTTAACTGGTGATTCAGATATCCGGATGCTTCACATATCCGGACAAATTGACTGGGAACCAAAGCGTCCGGATAAATGAGGGTCCACTGTATATATATTTGGTTTTATGACTTCATCATTCTTCCTCATAGTTATTTTGAGTTTTAACTTTTATTCCAAGAAATTATTCTTCAGTATATTTACTTCAAAGTTCCTACGTACCCCGGTATACACAGATACATGTACCATTTGATGCAAGCTATTAATCTGTGTCTTATCTTTTTTGGGCATTAATGTTCTTTGAATATTCTTACCTTTTATTTTCTATTTACATCAGCTTCATAAAATTATGCCCCACTTGGAAGAATGGAGGGCATATTGCTTTGCTACTGTCTGTACGTTGGTTGGTCGGTCTGTCTGTCTGTCGGTCCACCATTCCGTTTCTGTTTATTTTTTTTGCAGAGGTTGCTTATATTGAAATGAAATTTGGTATACAGATTTATCATAAGAATATCTAAGTCAAGTATTGTTTTGGGTACAATCAAGCCATTTTGGACAGAGTTATCCCCCTTGGACTTAGAAAAATTCCAATTACTTTGGGGAGGGGGGGGGGGGGTACGTGTTTTACAAACATCTCTGGTTAATATAGCAGTACACAGCATAGCACAGAAATTAACATTATACACCTACCTTTCAGTTTTTGAGTTGAACATATTTTTTATATTAATATTTTTAAAGTGCAGTGGTGTTTTCTGTGTATTGGTTTTATTTAAATTACTATTATATATATTAATTCTATTTTGGCAGTTTCTATTTGGAAGTTACACATGTAGTACTTGGGATTTGCTTTACATAACCAAGAAACAACTCTTTCTTCTTCATAGTCTAGTATGAAAATAAATGACATGGTTCAAAGAATATACCAAAACAATTTTATTGTTTATTGTCCGAAATATCGGACATTTTCCAGGCTTTTTTACGATATTGATATTTTGCTTTCCAGGCACCTAAAATATATCAAAACCGTAAAAAAAAAAAAAAAAAAAAAAAAAAAAGGCCAGAAAATATCAGATATTTTGGACTAATTGGTTACAAGTTCTGCATTTACATTTGTAGTTTGTTAATGAAAAAATTTTGTAGTATTTACTTTCTCTTTGAACATGTTGAAAATATTACAATACTGTATTTAGACTTTTTTTTGTCCCCAACCTCAGAGTAAAGAAAAATTTATAACTGAATTAAAAGATTGAATAAATAATTTTTTTTTCTTGTTCTTTACAGGTTTCAGGAGAATAAAGGAGAATAGTGGTCATGTAATATTTAGTCCAGTATTTAATCAACTTCTCATTCATCACTACGTGGGGATTCCATGATGGATTGTACCGTTTCTGTGGAAGAGACACCCTTCAGTTTTCAGTGTATGAATTCTATCAATGTTTTTATCAACATGATCAGTTGGAACTACAAAACTTACTTTGTTCATTCTTAGACAGAAAAGAACTAAATGAAACATGAATGAGAAAAAATATCAAAAGAACAATGCGTAGACTCAGCATAAAGACGCTTCATTGAACTAATCCCAACATTAAGGACATTCTGTGTAATGTAGAGATTGAAGATCAAATTCTGATCTGTGAAAAGATCTTTAACCTTGCTTCAAGTTTTTTATGTTATAGGAATCTCTGAGGATGAGATTAATAATGCAGTTAGTTAATAAGTACTGGTACACGTTTTCCTGTACATCATTGTCTCTTTTTATCATAATTATAGTGGTATTTCATTGATCAAGCTTTATGTAATACTTATTTCTCAAGTTCTGTGATGTATTTTTGTTTTCTTGTTTTCGTTGATTAACCTTCAAGATAATGTCATGCTTATTTCAACTGTTCAGTAACAATTCATGTGTTTAATAATTTTGGGGACATCATGTGATTTGTGCCTAAGAATTTTTACAGGTGATTGTACTCTTTGCAATCATGAATATTTGTGTGGTTAATTTTCATTGTTTTTATCATATGAAAAGACTCAGCAAATTCATGTCCTACTAAAATATAAAATTTCAAATGCAACTTTTCGATAATGAAATCAAATCAAACCACAGAAAAATATATCCATGTACATGTATTTAATTTAACAGAATTCAATTGATCTGACAAGGAAACACAATGTATCAAAGTGGTCTTTTTTTCATTTTTTTTTTTTCCACATTATGCTTGGATACAAGCGACATAAACAAATTTTGTAATGTACATTTCAGAAGCTGTGTTGTAAAAATTGTCATATTAAACACATGTTAGATAAATTATTTTTGAAAGTGAAATTTGTTTTTCAATTTGAAAAAAGAGGAAAAAAAATTGTGATATTTTAATATTGAGCTAAAATATTTAAGGAATAACTGTCTTATTTTTCGAATTCATGAAGTGATCAATGGATTGGCTTGTGTCATAATTTGCATAAACGCCGACGGCGTTTATGCATAAAATTATCACACAAGCCAATCCATTGATCATCTTCATGAATTCGAAAAATCTGACAGTTATTCCTTATATTTACATGCTTTGATTCCGCCAATCCACGGGCTCCAAGCCTGCTTCTCTCTAGGTGTTGTCCCGCCTTGCACGTGGTTTTTTTGGAACCGCGCCAAAACATTCATGAGGAAATCAATTACATTTACATTTGGTAATTTTATCTCGGACAAAGACATTGGAAATGTAAATATTAAAATATCAAAAATACTTTTTTTCTGAGTCAAAGGCTCTGACAAAAAGCTAATGCATGGCCATTTGTGCGGTGTGCGTAAACTTTTTAGAATATTGGTCATAACCCAAAAACCCCTTGGCCAATCATTGTCAAAATTGTCACAAGGCATCCTTGGCGCAAGGGTTATATTTATACTAAAACTACGGTTTGGACCCTTAAGCAAGGGGAGATAATCAGGAAAATAAAACCATGTTTTAAATCAGAGGCCATGAACTGAGGCTTTTAGCTCAGGTGAGCTAAAAATACCAAGGATCAGAGATTTTAAAAGAAATTTTCAATATATTTTCTAAAGAGCCCCCTCCCTTCTCTGGCACAAGATACCCTGATTATGCAAACCCCGGCTTCCTCTCGAGCAAGCCTATTTCCCTCTGCTGTGCCTCAGGAAATAGACTTGCTCTTAGAGAACTGGAAAATTGCCTACTCACTCATTGATATACTTTAACTGTATATTAATGACGTTTATGTATTGATAACTCTCTACCTGTTTCCTAACTGTTCATTTGAAGAATTTCTCAAGACAATGAACTATAACATTTATAAAGCAAAAAAATAAGAAATTTATTTCATATAAAAATTTCCCATCACACCAAGTTTGTAGTATCCTTATCTCACATTAGTTAAAACAAAATTTTACTGTAAAGCAGATTAAAATTAGCACCTGAATTGGAGATTGGTTTTCTTTAATACACAGAATTACATAAAAAAAAAAATGCATGTTTAATCTAAGAATGAGCTATTAAACACGTTCTGTTTGTTACAATAATGCATAGGATACATGTAACAAGGGAGAGAACTCTTGACAAAGTAAAATTTTTAAACAACACAAGTAAAATCATTAAAAAATTTACCTGAATATGCTATTACATTGTATATTTAATTTATTCAATGGATAAAAGGAGAGAAAACCTTTGAATGAATTTATCGTTTTAATCATTCAATTGATGAGAAAACGAGCACACATATTTTAAGTGATTGACTAATGTAGGGATCTGCATTGTTGAGATTCTATGAAGACTAAATGCCACTAACAGATTATGGACTTGGTCAAAGTGGGCAAACCAAAGTTTGACTGAAATGTGGGGATGTTACTGTAGAAGTGCTTTTTTCCGCATGGTATTAATTTACGCTATGTACCCAGTCACATATTCTCCACGGAAATTTGTCCAAACGTACTCCATATAAATGCAAGGCATATATGACAGTCTAAGAGATACACGTAATTTTCAAACCACGGAATAAACGTAAAGTGAGATTCTGCGGAATTATGACCCCATGGAAAAAAGTACATCTACAGTATTTCATGGATTCAATACTTCTTTACATTGATAAGGTAATATAGTTTGTGGATAGGTATTAAAAGTCATGGATAGGGATGACCCACTAAACGCAAGAATATTCTTCCCCAATAAACAACAATGATTCCACATTAATACATTCCATAATTAAAATAATTAAATTGCAATAAATTTAATTAAAAAAATAAAATGACAATGCCAATAAATGAAGTTACCATGAAAAAGCTCTTTTTATAATAAGCAAAACATTTCTTTATACATACGTACCAAAGACATACATACATGCACATGCATTCAAAAGGAGGATTTATTAAAGTAAATTTCAAGTAAGGTAAAAAAGTTTTAAAGCATATAAGTAAAGCAGTTGTTACATATAAGAGTTGAATACAAGACGCTAAAAATTGCAATTAAATTTTCACAAATTTGAAATATATGCCTGGTAATTTCTTCTGAACTAGCAAAAATCATATTTGCAAAAAAAAAAAATTCCAATTTAACCTCTTTTTTAAATGATACATGATACATTATCTTAAATTACTTTTTAAATAAATAATTGTTTATCAAGAAACAATCAAATTTAATGTTAAAATAAAAATAAATAAAATTTTCTAGCAGAAGAGTGAATTAAAATACTCTGTGTCTAGCTTTTAAAATTATAATAAGTACTAAAAAATAACAGAATTGGAATATATACAGAAACAAATGATAAATAAATTCACTAATATGTCATTTGATGACTTCATCGTTGTTCTGTGGCAGCAGGAGTAAAAAAGGTGTGTCTCAGAAACACTGTCTAGGCAAGAAGAATTTTAGACAACACAGCTGCTATGAAAAGGAGCATCCCAACTGCAATTCTGTAACCAAAAAAAGTCAAACTTTAGTCAAAACAATTATAGTCAAAGAACATAGCCCTGTTCACATTTGCCATATACTCCCTTGTGGAAATTTAGTTCAATTAATTTTCCTCTATCTGACTAAATGAACATTTTGTACACAATTCAAAATAAAAATTACACCTGTGCAAATTAAAGTTTGAAACATAGTGTACATGTACCTGCTTACAAAATGTGTGTAAATATACTGTCGTTTCAGTAATTTTCGTGGATTTTATAAAACACACGTTTTTGAGGATACATAATTTGTGGACAAAGGCATTGCCAATACATGTACAAATGAATAACATATTTCTTAATTAACATAAAAATTTGTGGATCTGCTCAACAACGAAATCCTTGAAAATTGGTGCTCAATGAATATTAATGAAACCACGGAGTTTGTATTTGCACACCATGTACACTTGAATGGAGCTTTACAAATACTGTATACAGGGAAATTTTCACCCCCATTTTATTTTCGCCCTTTTCACACTATACCCACTGGTTGGCGAATTTTAAATGAGGCCAATTAAAAAATGCACAGCATGATTTCTTAAACAGAATTGTAACTGTTTGAATTTAAATCAGGGCAAAATTGTTTCCGAGTGTAAAAAGGCAAAAATAAAATGGGGTGAAAATAACCCTCTATACAGTACTTCATTATAATTTTGATTCCAGACTTACTGATTTACAGCTACATGGGTTCCTGTTCCTGTGGTTGTTTGTGAAGTCCCATGAGTAGTTGTGGGGTCATCCGATTTTAATTCCAAGCACTCCTTTCCATCTCCTCCTTAAATCAAAGAATACATCACAAAACTTATACAGTATAAAATATGATGTTACTGTAAATCACTTTTTATTCCCGAGAACTTAATTCTAGCGTAATTACGCGAGGCAGTGTGCTCGCGAAAATTTAATTCTCACGTATAATAGTATTCCTTAGGATAATATAGAGCATGAACCACAATTTGTGAAAATTATGTCTCATTTATGAAGAGTCAATGACTATCTCGCAAAAAATAGGGTGTCGCGAAAATTTAGTGATCTACAGTAAATAAAAAAGACAAGAGGCCCAGGGGCCACATCGCTCACCTGAGCAATTGGCTAGGAAAAAGCACATATCAGATCAGAACTGAAAGTTTGGGGGGGGGGGGGGGGGGGGGGGGGGGGCTTGATTTTAAACCCCCAGGGGGTCATGTTTTGAACAAACTAGAATCACGCTACCTGAGGATGATTCCCCATAAATATCACTAAGCATGGCTTTGAAGTACTTGAAAAGAAGATTTTAAAAGGTTTCCCCATATATTCCTATGTAAAACTTTCATTGGTCATTTGGCCCCACCCTACCCCAGGGGCTCATGATTTGAACAAAGTTGAATCTTCACTACCTGGGGATGATTCCTCAGGAGTTTCATCTTTCCTGTCTCAATGGTTCTTGAGAAAAAGATTTTTCCTATATATTCCTATGTAAAACTTTGATCGGCCATTTTGGCCCCACCCTACCCCCGGGGGTCATATCTTGAACAAACTGTGTAATCTACACTACCTGAGGATGATTCCACATGAGTTCCATCTTTCCTGGCCCTTTGGTTCTTGAGAAGAAGATTTTTAAAGATTTTTCCTAAATATTCCTATGTAAAACTTTGATCGGACATTTTTGCCCCACCCTACCCCGGGGGGGTCATGATTTGAACAAACTTCTCCACTACCTGAGGATGAGTTTCATCTTTCCTGGCCCAGTGGTTCTTGAAAAGAAGATTTTTTAAAAATGCCATTAATTTTTCTCTAATTCATAATTATCTCCCCTTGTAAAAAAGCGTGGCCCTTCATTTGTACAAATTTGAATCCCCTTTACCCAAGGATACTCTGTAGCAAGTTTGGTTGAAATTGGCCTAGTGGTTCTTGAGAAGATGAAAATGTGAAAAAGTTTACAACAACAACGACAACGACAGACAACGGACAAATTTTGATCAGAAAATCTCACTTGAGCCTTTGGCTCAGGTGAGCTAATAATGACAGAAGTCCATGAACTTTCCAAACAACCCTCGTTGTTGTATAGTTTATATATAGCTTTTCTTAAGAAAATGGTGCAATAATAATTAAATGGCATACTTTCCATTCTGGCTTTCAAATTGTCTGTCATTAAACATCTTGAACATTCCCCGGAGCGCGTATTAATGACATGAGCTGCACTTTGGTACTCAGCACAGGCCTTATCTTAATAATACAAATAAAAATAAATTTAAAGCTTTCTAGCTTGGGAGTTTCTTGCATTTATGAAAATTCTTAACTGTCAGTTAAGGCAATCAGATATTCAGTAGGAACGATACTCAGCTCTTACGATATCATACATATTCCAATACATGTAATACAAGAGGCCCAGGGGCCACAGCGCTCACCTGACCACATCAGCTAGGAAAAAGCACATATATCATGATTTGGACGAACTAGAATCTACACTACTTGAGAATAATTCTACATAAATATTACTAATCATAGCTTTGAAGTACTTGAAAAGAAGATTTTAAAAGGTTTCCCTATATATTCCTATGATAATTTTTGGTCGACCATTTTGGCCCCACCCTACCCCCGGGGGTCATGATTTGAACAAACTTGAATCTACACTACCTGAGGATAATTTCAGATGAGTTTCATCTTCCCTGTCTCAATGGTTCTTGAGAAGAAGATTTTTAAAGATTTTTCCTATATACTCCTATGTAAAACTTTGATCGGCAATTTTTGGCCCCACTCTACCCCCAGGTGTCATGATTTGAACAAACTTGAATCTACACTATTTGAGGATGATTCCATATGAGTTTCATCTTCCTGGCCCACTGGTTTTTGAGAAGAAGATTTTTCCTATATATTCCTATGTAAAACTTTGATCAGCCATTTTGGCCCCACCCTACCCCCGGGGATCATGATTTCAACTTCAACTTCAATCTACACTACCTGAGGATGATTCCATATGAGTTTCATCTTTCCTGGCCCTTTGGTTCTTGAGAAGAAGATTTTTAAAGATTTTCCTATATATTCCTATGTAAAACTTTGATTGGCCATTTTGGCCCCACCCTACCCCGGGGGGTCATGATTTGAACAAACTTGAATCTACACTACCTGAGGATGATTCCACATGAGTTTCATCTTTCCTGGCCCTGTGGTTCTTGAGAAGAAGATTTTTAAAGATTTTTCCTATATATTCCTATGTAAAACTTTGATCGGCCATTTTGGCCCCACCCTACCCCGGGGGGGTCATGATTTGAACAAATTTGAATCTACACTACCTGAGGATGATTCCACATGAGTGTCATCTTTCCTGGCCCTTTGGTTCTTGAGAAGAAGATTTTTGAAGATTTTTCCTATATATTCCTATGTAAAACTTTGATCAGCCATTTTGGCCCCACCCTACCCCCGGGGGTCATGATTTGAACAAATTTCAATCTACACTACCTGAGGATGAGTTTCATCTTTCCTGGCCCAGTGGTTCTTGAGAAGAAGATTTTTTAAAAATGGCATTAATTTTTTTCAAATTCATAATTATCTCCCCTTGGAAAAGGGCGTGGCCCTTCATATGAATAAACCTGAATCCCCTTTACCCAAGGATACTTTGTAGCAAGTTTGGTTGAAATTGGCCCAGTGGTTCTTGAGAAGAAGATGAAAATGTGAAAAGTTTACGACAACGACGACGACAACAACGACGACAGACAACGGACAAATTTTGATCAGAAAAGCTCACTTGAGCCTTCGGCTCAGGTGAGCTAAAAATACAATACAGTGGACCTTCAGATATCCAGACACCAGATATCTGGATGCTTTCGTATCCGGACAATTTTTCATTGGAACGGAATTTTTTAACGTTATTTTGTCTTGTTTAACTGGTGATTCAGATATCCGAACAAACTGACTAGGAATCAAAGCATCCGGATAAATGAGGCTCCATTGTACACATATCTAACAAGAATTCTGTGAATCAATGCTCACTAAAAATACCCCCGCTCTGATGTGAATATACATTATCATGTTAATACATGTATACATAAGTTCAATTACGGGCAAATGCACAGATAAATAGAAAGATGACATCAGATTCATAAAGAATTTCAAGCATCTGTTATGAGTAGTTGCTGAGAAAATTGCGACAAAAATTTGTTATGTATGAATCGGACAGATGCACAGACAAACAGGAAGTTGACATAGGATTTTAATGAAAATTAGTCTCACCATATGGCATGCCTCAGAGAAGAATGTTTTAAAATGTCAAGCATCTGCAATGACTGATTCAATGAGTAGTTTCTGAGAAAACTGCGATGAAATTTTGTTACGGATAGACTGATGGACAGACAGATGGATGGACACACAAGGGTAAAACAGTATACCCCTCTCTCCTTGGAGCGAGGTATAATCATATTATAATAAATCAAATTAATATTATATAAATCATAATACATATGTGCTTTGAAATTAATACAGTACAATGTACTTATTGCCAAAAGTCTTTAGGCTATTTACAAATAATTGATCTATTAGACTATTAATGGCTAAAAATCTCAAAATTGATCCTTTTATGAAAATAAAGGAATTCTAGCTGCCCTTGTCCATAGCTGCCAACGAGTATTCTCTTTAGAGAAGTAGACAGTCTTTCATCTATGCTAAAGCCTTCATACTTCTCTTAAGAGAATATACTCAAAGGAATTAAAGTTTCATTATCCTGCTATACAATAATCGCTGTGTGGAATTTTCTTTTATATCAGATCCATAAAATTTGACAAGGAATTGTAAAGAATTTTGCTAGGGAGTGCAAAACACTTTGCTTTAAATTGGCTATATCCGTGTGCATACTAAATTTTTGTTCATATGAAAGTTTTACTGTATACAGTATTGTAAATTGCATGTTAGCCAGAAATATTTGTATGTATCAAAGTATCAGTATATCATTCCACCTCTAACATTCATTCAAATTCAAGCTGTTACATGTACATACCATTAATACAATTTGATATCAAATATTTTACATGAATGACTTAAAAATGTTTATAAAATGCATAGTTAGGATTCGTTTTTAACAGGTCAACATATGTACATATTAAGCACTATCCTAATTACCTAGTAGGCAAAGATTTGGTGTGCAAACAGCAACAAGGAAGGTGTGGTTTATATCTCTTATGCATGCTTTGACATGATTACTTTCACAGGAATACTGCTGAAGGATGGTTCCACAGTCATCCTTTGGAAGCAGTGTCTTTAAAAGCTTGTAATTTTTTGTTGAGGATACACAGGTACTACCGGTATTCTAAAATATGAGAAATTTATAATGTTTTTGTCATCTTCCATTTTTATACAAGCATACCATGCTCCTGGCAATTATCAAATATTACAAAGCTCACCTTGACAACTGTTATCTCTAAGTATGGAAACTCACGCATCAAATTTATGACCTGGTAGTTGCATCCCTAGATGCAACACCTGGTACATGTATGCAACTTTGAAATAAACCTGCTCTTATGTCTTTTCATGTTCACCAGTAATCCTTAGAAAGAACTATATGCGGTATTAACCAACATTTGCCCCCCAAAATCAAACTTTGATGGAGTAATATTTAATTAAGTCCTTAAACAGGGGAGTATATGCTGACTTCAAAGCACTGAATAATTTCATAAGTAATGACGTCATATGTACATAATGACGTCACATATATGACGTAAATTTCAGTTTTTTATGAATTTTGGAGAAAAATGTACATATTTCGTCGATATTTTAAATAAAAGTCACCGAGCGCATGTGTGTTCAGGATTAAAATTTTGATATAATGTGTAGAATGATAATATCAATGAAATATGTCAATATTGTTCCTGAACACACATGCGCTCTATAAATTCTAAAGCTTAAATTGTTGAAATTTTGTCCATTTTGTCCTCTTTCTGAAAAAGGATATAAAATCGGACTAGTTTGTGACGTCATAAAAACAGAAATTGTGAATACACTGCTCTGGAACTATAATATTTTCTGTTAACTTATATTTCTCGTACAATTTATTGAATTCAGCACATTTCAGGAAGTTTTCAAAATTTGACTTTTGTGGGGGCAAACATATGCAATATACCGCATATAGTTCTTTCAAGTAGCCAAAGCATGTATTAAAACTAAAATTTTAATCATTAATTGTGGCCAGGCCCTACACCCAGGGGTCATGATTTGAACAAACTTGAATCTACACTATCTGAGGATGTTTCCATAAGTTTCATCTTTCCTGACCCAGTGGTTCTTGAAAAGAAATTTTTTAAAAGATGCCATTTATAATATTAATTCACTAATTCTTAATTATCTCCACATGAAAGAGGGTGTGGCTCTTCATTTGAACAAATGTGAATTTCCTTCACCTAAGGATACAATGTGGCAAGTTTGGTTGAAGATGGCCCAGTGGTTCTTGAGAAGAAGTGGAAAGTGTGAAAAGTTTACAGACAAACAGATGGACCTATGTACGGAGAGACAGATGTCTGACAAAATGTGATTAGTAAAGCCTTCAGCTCAGGTGAGATAATAAAGCACACCATGCATCAACCATGCAATGTATAAATAAATTTGTATATAAATCAATTTGCAAACAAAACTCTTATTTGGGACTTTGCCTATAGCATAAAGCTTTACCCCTACTTCATGGACATGAAGCCACATGAGATACAATGTACATGTAATAATGTAAAGGAAGAAACTCCTAGGCAAAAAATGTCATAGGAAAAGGGTCTATACATGTACATGTACTTATATAACTTTGTCAAGGTGAGCTTAAGTAATTTTTATTTTTATAAGTTACCTTGTCATTGTATGCTCCAACTAATGGTGATAGATGGCACAGTACAACTAACACAAACCACGTTACCAAAGCATTGGTATTTTTTCTGAAGAGAAATTGATCGATTTACAGTTCTGTTATCACTGACACATTATGATGACTACTTTTACGTCAGACATGTAATTGTGATGTCAGATTTCAAACTTCTAATGCTTCACAAACGATTGCACTTGTTAATATTTGTTGTCAGTCATACATGTACAGTGTAATTGTTTTGCTGACAAATGATGAAAACTAACTAGCCTTATTTTTATTTTCATCCACAGCTTAGTTTTCATCATTTGTCAGCAAAACAAACATTAGTGACAACAAATAACAATTGCAATTTTTTTTTACGCAATTATATTAGAAGTTTGAAACCTGACATCACAATCACAAGTCTGAAGTAAAAGTAAGGTCATTTATATATGAAAATCTTGAGTGAAACTTATATTGTAAATATTTTGTAGTGTATTTCATTTCATTTATCAACAATGTTTGTGAAAAAAGTTAAAAATATTATTGCAAGTTGCTTTAAAAAGTTCTCTTTAATTAATGTGTCTTTCAGTTTTGTGTTAATTTTATATTCTTACAATAAAATCAGTTTTAAAATATTTAAGGTCAAGATCTAGTAAATAACTTGAGACTAATTTTTTGGTGCTAGATCCATTATGACGTCATAATCAATTTCAACTTTCTTTTTCTCATACTTTATGGTTTTAGCAGAATTACAGTGGAGCCTCATTTATCCGGACGCTTTGGTTCCCAGTTAATTTGTCCGGATATGTGAAGCGTCCAGATATCTGAATTACCAGTTAAACAAGACATAATAAAGTTTTAAAAATTCTGTTCCGATGAAAAATCGTCCGGATACTGAAGCATCCGGATATCAGGCATCCGGATATCTGAAGGTCCCCTGTATGTAGAAAATAGGGTATTTTCATGTCATTAAATTTGAAATCATATGAAAAGTAAACCGGATACCTATATTAAATTTGAAATTTATTTAAAGAAGAGGCCATGAACATACTAATTACCATTTTCTGAGAGACTGTAGGCAATCTGGATACATTTCTTTTGCCGAATACGAAAAAAAACTCCCATATTCATGACTGGTTTTCTTAATTTTTCATTGAAAATAACAGTTTACAATACAGTTTTTCATCTTGTTTACCTACAAATTATGCCCCGAAACACCTTATTTGACCAAGCTAAAGTTGTAAAGCATCAATAAAGGAATTTATTTCTCAAGTTTGATAAGTCTGTAGGTACATGTACCTTTCATTTACTAGATCTTGACCTTAAGAGAGGGTAAGGGCTCTCGTAAAGTTGCGACAAATTTCACAGGCAAGAATCTCGTAAGATTTTTTGTAACAAGAGGCCCAGGGGCCACATCGCTCACCTGAGCAATTGGCTAGGAAAAAGCACATATCAGATCCGAACTGAAAGTTTACTGAGTCAAGGTGGGGGGGCGGGGGGGGGCTTGAATTTTAACCTCATAGGGGGTCATGGTTTGAACAAACATGAATCTACACTACCTGAGGATGATTCCATATAAATATCACTAAGCATGGATTTGAAGTTCTTGAAAAGAAGATTTTAAAAGGTTTCCCTATATATTCCTATGTAAAACTTTGATTGACCATTTTGGCCCCACCCTACCCCCGGGGGTCATGATTTGAACAAACTTGAATCTACGCTACCTGGTGATGATTCCACATGAGTTTCTTCTTTCCTGGCCCAGTGGTCTTGTTCAGTATGATTTTAAATCTTTTTTCCTATATATTCCTATGTAAAACTTTGATCGGCCATTTTGGCCCCACCCTACCCCCAGGGGTCATGATTTGAACAAACTTGAATCTACACTACCTGGTGATGATTCCACATGAGTTTCTTCTTTCCTGGCCTAGTGGTTCTTGAGAAGAAGATTTTTAAAGATTTTTCCTATATATTCCTATGTAAAACTTTGATCGGCCATTTTGGCCCCACCCTACCCCCGGGGGTCATGATTTGAACAAACTTGAATCTACACTACCTTGTGATGATTCCACATGAGTTTCATCTTTCCTGGCCCAGTGGTTCTTGAGAAGAAGATTTTTAAAGATTTTTCCTATATATTCCTATGTAAAACTTTGATCGGCCATTTTGGCCCCACCCTAACCCCAGGGGTCATGATTTGAACAAACTTGAATCTACACTACCTGATGATGATTCCACATGAGTTTCATCTTTCCTGGCCTAATGGTTCTTGAGAAGAAGATTTTTAAAGATTTTTCCTATATATTCCTATGTAAAACTTTGATCGGCCATTTTGACCCCACCCTACCCCCGGGGGTCATGATTTGAACAAACTTGAATCTACACTACCTGGTGATGATTCCACATGAGTTTCATCTTTCCTGGCCTAGTGGTTCTTGAGAAGAAGATTTTTAAAGATTTTTCCTATATATTCCTATGTAAAACTTTGATCGGCCATTTTGACCCCACCCTTCCCCCGGGGGTCATGATTTGAACAAACTTGAATCTACACTACCTGGTGATGATTCCACATGAGTTTCATCTTTCCTGGCCTAGTGGTTCTTGAGAAGAAGATTTTTTAAAAATGCCATTAATTTTTCTCTAATTCATAATTATCTCCCCTTGGAAAAGGGCATTGCCCTTCATTTGAACAAACCTGAATCCCCTTTACCTAAGGATACTTTATGGCAAGTTTGGTTGAAATTGGCCCAGTGGTTCTTGAGAAGAAGATGAAAATGTGAAAAGTTTACAACGACAACGCCGACAACAACGACGACGACGACAACGCCGACAACGACAACGACAGACAACGGACAAATTGTGATCAGAAAAGCTCACTTGAGCCTTTGGTTCAGGTGAGCTAAAAAGGAATAAAACTTTTAAAATTTCACTTTCAGTACCAGGGTATATTTAAACAAGAGGTCCATGGGCCACATCGATCACCTGAGCACTGTGGCTAGGAAAAAGCAGAATTGGTTTATTATTGAAAAGTTTAAATCCAAAAGTAGTCCAATGACCAATCATGGCTTTGCTTTTCTTGAGAAGATGATTTTTAAAGAATTTTCCTAAATATGTCTATGTAAAACTTTGATCAGACATTGTGGCCCCGTCCTACCCCCGGGGGTCATGATTTGAACAAAATTGAATCTACACTACCTGAGGATGCTTCCATATAAATATGATCAATTATGCTTTGTTATTCTTGAGAAAAAGATTTTTAAAGAATTTTCCTATATATTTCTATGTAAAACTTTGGTCGGCCATTGTGGCCCAGCCCTACCCCCAGGGGTCATGATCTTAACAAATTTGAATCTACACTACCTGAGGATGCTTCCATATAAATATGATCAATTATGGCTTTGTTATTCTTGAGAAGAAGATTTTAAAAGAATTTTCCTGTATATTTCTATTAGGGCTGCCATGAATCAGAAAATTTTCGAATTGATTCGGTTCAAACAAAAACCTCGATTTTCGAATAATTTCGGTTCGATTATAAGAAATATTTTTTTTCAATTTTTTTTTAATAAAATCTGTAACCTTTGATCATCATAATCACAAGACATTCTTTAATAAATAATTATTCATAGGTTTATTAAGATAAAATGGAATGTAAAGCCAAGAAAACAAAGAAAATACCTAATGTTCTAATTACAAAGTATAATACAAGAATCAAATGTCGGAAATCCAAATTAATAAAAATATTGGTCATTGGTTTTAAAGGATGAAACATGCGAACAAATCTTTCAAACAAAACCAATGATTTCATATTAATTATTATGCTAAACATGAAAGTATTGGTGATTTCCTTACAAAGGCTGTTCGGCCACAATAGAAATGGTAAGATCCCTGCTGTAATTTTAAATGTTTGATTCACTACTACGATATCAAACCATCTAACCACATAACTGATAACAAGAATGTCAATAATTATTTCACATTCAAAACGATCTCAATATTAAAAAGAAATAAGGAAATTTGCAGCACTGTGCCGGTTCCTCTAAATTCAGAATTACGTGGCTGATGGGTATTGCCTTTTTGTAAATCTATTTATCTTCTAGGCATCTTTCTGCCGAAAATGGAACTTGGAAGTAGTCCCCCGTCGACTTCTTCGCGGCCATTTTCATGTGTTTGTTTACTTTAACATCATTTGAGATCATTTCTTCCTATTAACCAATCGGAATGCACGTAACAACAGCAAATGTTAGTATGAAAAAATCAAACCTGAATCGAAATCCCGGAAAAACGTACCGAATCGAACCGAAAAATTGTGAATCGCGGTTAACCGATATTTCGGTTAATCGTGGCAGCCCTAATTTCTATGTAAAACTTTGGTCAGCCATTGTGGCCCGCCCTACCCCCGGGGTCATGATTTGAACAAATTTGAATCTACACTACCTGAGGATGCTTCCATATAAATATGATCAATTATGGCTTTGTTTTTCTTGAGAAAAAGATTTTTAAAGAACTTTCCTGTATATTTCTATGTAAAACTTTGGCCGGCCATTGTGGCCCCGCCCTACCCCCTGGGGTCATGATTTGAACAAATTTGAATCTACACTACCTGAGGATGCTTCCATATAAATATGATCAATTACGGCTTTGTTTTTCTTGAGAAGATGATTTTTGAAGAATTTCGCTATATATTTCTATGTAAAATTTTGCTCGATCATTGTGGCTCCGCCTTACCCCCAGGGGTTATTATTTGAACAAATCTAAATCTACATTACCGGAGGATGCTTCTATATAAATATGATCATATATGGCTTTGTTATTCTTGAGTAGATGATTTTTAAAGAATTTTCCTGTATATTTCTTTGTAAAACTTTGGCCAGCCATTGTGGCCCCGCCCTACCCCCGGGGGTCATGATTTGAACAGACTTGAACCTACACTTCCTGAGAATGCTTCCATATTAATATGATCAATTATGGCTTTGTTATTCTTGAGAAGAAGATTTTTAAAGAATTTTCCTATATATTTCTATGTAAAATTTTGGTCAGCCATTGTGGCTCCGCCCTATCCCCAGGGGTCATGATTTGAACAAACTTGAATCTACACTACCTGAGGATGCTTCCCCATAAGTTTCATCTTTCCTGGCACAGTGGTTCTTGAGAAGAAGATTTTTAAAACATGCCACCAAATTTTCATTAATTCCCAATTATCTCCCCTTGAATGAGGGCCTGGCCCTTAATTTGAACAAACTTGAATCCCCTTCACCCATGGATACTTTGTGGCAAGTTTGGTTGAAATTGGCCCAGCGGTTCTTGAGAAGAAGTCAAAAATGTGAAAAGTTTACAGACAGACAGCTAGACAGACGGACGCCGGACAAAATGTGATCAGAAAAGCTCACTTGAACCTTCGGCTCAGGTGAGCTAAATAGTACTAGAATAGGATATGACACAGGCAAAGATTGTTCTATACAGATATATCCCTGGTTTAAAGAATATCAGTGTTTGAGATAACGAACTTCAACTGTCATTCAAACAACTTAAATTGCTTTACAAATACAGCTAAACTTCGGTATTGAGAACACCAATATCTCAAATACCATGGATATGTCAAAATGATTTTGAAGTCCCAAACACTTAATATTCTTTTACCCTCAATATCTCAAATCATTGGATATCTCAAAGTTTCTCCTCGGTCCAATCGAGTTTGAGATAACTGATTTGACTGTATCCTAACTGTTTAAAAATGGCCCTAGTATGTAACTTTAATTGCTATACATATACATTTATACTGACCTTTTTAATGTTTTTGAATTTCTGGATGTATCTGTAAAAAAAATTTACAAATGTTGAAAATAGACCTGTGATGGACATAAAAACCAAAGAATGGAGGAATAGAAGGATGTACAAATACATGTATGACAAAAAAAGATATGACAGCCATATTGATGGCCGGCCATTATTTAACAAGAGGCTTATAGCCACATGGCCTCTACCAATAGCTGCTACGAGGGTTGATCCAAAAGTAATGTCACAACTTGGATAAAATTGCTATAAATCGACGTAAAGCAACAAAATTACACATGATGGAAGCTTTATTAATTTCAAATCAGACCTGAAAAATTCAAAGGAATATGATGTGTACTTTCCAAAATATTGGATTTTAAACAATGTGCGTTTATGGTAGTCGCCGCACCTAAATATAACGTCATATGACGGATATGCACCGTCATACTTTTAACGAGGCCCGATCTAGTTTAAAATTACGAAAACGGAATGATAAAAAATTTTAATTCTTCGAAATATACTTGTATGTTTTATGCTTAGAAAAATTAGAACGAAATTTTGTTACCTTGCCTTTATTGTAGTGAAATGGGGGCACTGTCAAGATATGGACCATTTTTCGTGTTTTTATACACAATAACATACTAAAACTCTTCAATAAACAAAGAAATTTACAAATTAAAAAAAAATACATGATGAAATTCTTTGTTTTTCACATATATTATGCAATTTTCATTCTTCTTATAAAAAATGAAAAGAAAATGGGAGGTAGCCTTTATTGCAGTGAAAAGGGGGCATGTCAAAACACAAAATTTGGATTTATTCTATCCAACTACGTATTTTGTAGGTCGCAATGGGTTTACATAACACCAACACACGATTGCAATACTGTATTAGTTTCTAAAAAATAAATAATTCTTATATTATGAAATAATTTTCTCGCCATGCTTTATTTTTCTCTTAACACGCGACATTGTTTTACGTTGAAAAAAAGGGGTAGAGGGAGAAGGAGGGGGGGGGGGGGGGGGGGGGTAAAGGCGACAAATTGCGATTATTACTAATATCATGTAATATATAGAAAAATAAAATATTTCGGGTGTTTAATTTAAATGATTTATAGACTTATTTTATTTTTAAAAAAACTGAAGATAATCCATGCATATTTAAGTCCGCAATAAAAAGAGTGTGTATAAACACTTCAACATGTTCGAAGAGAAAGACTAAAATCGTTTACTTTTAGTTGCAGTGTTTGGTTTTTTTTAACTCACAAATTGAAATAAAACAGGATAAAATTAATGAATCTGTACTAAAAAATTGATCCCTCAAAAATAACTAGGTTCCAAAGTTGTTTATTAATTCAAATATTAAAAAAAATAATAGAAATGCCAACTCTCAATGCATAGTCTATAAAGCTACCAGGTAAGCAAGATCGGCGAAACATTTTAGCGCAATTTGACGTCATTTTAATTGTGACGTTATTGTGTTCAATTGTGACGGCAGTCAAGGGTATTGTGACGTGCCTGAGTCGACGCTGCGTTAAAACGTATGCACAGATCAAGTAGATCGGGCCTCGTTAAGCGGTTACCTTTCGTTTCATTAAAAAAATATATGTGATTCGGAAACACTTTTACCAATTCTACTTTCTTTAAGAATTTATGGTACCATTATACAATTTCCTCTTTTCATAGTGAAGCCCCCTGTCAATTTTTTTTTGAACAGTAGCATAAGACAAACTTAGAAATTCACATGTCACTCTATACGTCTGTCTTTTTTGACAACGTCAGACACCATTGAACGTTTCCGTCCGATCTCCTATCTTTCGGTATTCTTGTCATCTGCTGATCATTCAGTGACCAATCACCCGCCCAAAATTGCTGCAACCATCTATTAAAATATCTCTTATTTACATATAAGACATAGAATCTACACTACCCCAAGATGCTTACACTTACGTTTCAGCTTTTCTGGCCCAGTGGTTCTTTAGAAGAAGATTTTTTAATGACCACACCCTATTTTTGTCTTTTCTTGATCATCTCCCCTTGTGAGGAGACTTGGCTTTTATTTTTATAATTTAAACTCCCCTGTCCCAAAGGATGCTTTGTACCTAGTTTCGTCACAATTGGTCTAATGGTTCTTGAGAAGACGAAAATGTGAAAAGTTTACAGACAGATGGGCGAAGGACAAAATGTGATCAGAAAAGCTCACTCAAGCCTTTGGCTCAGGTGAGCTAAAAACAGATATCAATGGGTCACCTGAATGACTCAGGTGAGCTAAAGGAAGTCAATCAACTTGTAACATGATGTATATATAATGTTACACCATTCTAGCAAGTAAAACTGCACCTACATGTACATCTATAAGGTTTTGGAGGCTTATAATTAATCTCATCATTGGGCCAGGTGTCTACTGCATGGTTCATGGTCTGCTCATCATCTTGCTTGAAAATCTTTGTTGCATTTCTGGAGTGTGACGTCAGCTGTGCCACTGCTTCACGAGCTTCAATACTCTCATCATCATATGCATCCAATACGTCATTTATCAACTGTAAAACATAATGAATGTGTGATTGTTGTTTCACATAGAATTGTGCTAGCCAAAGAACTACGAACTCTAACTCTTGATTCCCGCCTACATTTTGCACCCATTAAATTCAATATTAATGGCAATTTGGCCATTAAATCTTTGTTTAATACAAAGAACAGTTCTATGGTAATAGATTAACCATTTTAATTCCAACGCTAGATAGTAAATTATCATTAATTCCAGCTCTTGAAAAAAGGGGGGTAGACGATATTTTCTAGTGAAATCGAACTTTCAAGAATCACCATATTTTGGAATAGTCTTAAATATGATAAAATGTATCTCATATCTTTTCTTATGTTTTACGCAAATAAATAAAACATATATAAATTAATAAAATACAATTATTTGGTTGTAAATAGCTTTAAAATTGGTGAAAAATCAGCATTTTTTCGTTTATTGTCTATAAATATATGTTCCCCCCCGTGAAACACAAAAAGCTTTGGCATAAATTTGCAAAATGACAGTCCATATTACCTGTAAAAAGGAATTTTTGTTTCACGGGGTGGAAAGATGTTTTAAAAATATTTTCCTTTTTCCATTGATTTCTATAGTGAAAAACTCAAGTTTTACCAAAATTATAGAGTTATCTCTCTTTGGTATCCCAAATAAGTAACGTTTTATCAAAATTCATATACATATCTATAAAAATTTTGAAAATCATTCGAATATGTTAACTTTTGAGAATTGACTTAGAGGTAGGCGGGAGAACAATACTATCGTTCGTGGTTCTTCATCAGATTTCCTACACTTCTCATGTATATCCTTGATTTATTACAATTTAAGAGATGATTCTATATCACATACATGTCATTGATTTGAAATCACACCTATAATATGCATATTACATGTAATTTAACATCAAAATATCAAACTTATTACTGCAATTCAATGACTAATTTAAGAGACTAGTCTTCATATACATGCACAGTACAGACATACTTGTGTTCCATAAATAGAAACAGGTTTGCTAACAAAAATTATTTTACATTTGCTTGTAAAAATTACAAAGTAAAATTGATCAAACCTCTGAATATTTGTTCCGAACATCATCTGCTTCCAAAGAAAAAATTGTTGTCATCCACTTGGAGGAATTCCAAAGAAAAGCTGCCATTTTCTTCTAAACTACAATATTATTTTTTTCTCAATACAGTATTATTCATACCGAAATGCCTCATTATTTATACAGTACAGCAATGATTTGATGCGGCTTCTGAATTTGATTACACTCGGTACACCTCTGCATAATTACAATTACGATTTTCAGTCCATGCAAAAAATTTTTGTTAATAACCAATATAGGACATTTGGTCTTGTGTAATCAACTTGATGAATGAACACACACGGCAAAAACCAGAGAACTATATGCAGTTTATTATGCATTTATTGACTGATTTCTAGGGCAGCATGCGTTTTGTCTGACCCAAGAACCAAACTGTCTTTGCAGTTTGATTTGAGGGTTGACAAAATGCATTTAGCCCGAGAACATAGTCAATAGATGTATTGTAATACTTTTAATTTTTTTTTTACACACATGTATTTTGTACTGTCTTCTGTGATGTACCCCATTTCCGTCACTGTTGAACACCAACAATCAAAATGAGATTAAGCTGTGCCCATTCTGTGATGTAAGCGGTCCAACATTTCATCGAAAGGTCCAACATCTCAGCAGTCAAAAATGAATTTTTTATGCCCGCTCAGCAAAACATTAGAAATGTTAGACTTTTTTTTCGTGTAGAGTCATGCTAGTTATTCAAGCTGTCATAGGTAACTTAGTTAGAATAACCAAACTCTGTCTCAGGACAAGCTCTCAACTGGGTCCGTAGGACAATATCATTTTAACAATAGAACATTCTATCTATAGGTGACTGTGTTCAATGTGTTAATGGTGAAGGACTCAAATAGTGATATTGAAAAGTTCGGCAGGCCACATGAACAGCATATCCAGCTGATGTCAGAGTGAGCTTTGTATTGGTACATCTGACTTGTAATAGTTACATGATGACACGAGATGATGCATACAAAATATCGTTGAGTTATTGCACGCGAGGAGGCGTTAGCCTCCGAGTTTGCAATAACGAAACGATATTTTGTATGCATCATCGAGCTGTCAATCATGTAACTGATTTATCCCATGACCCTTCATTTGACCTTTTCCCATATTTGGTATTTTCTTTGCATCAACTAATAAAGACTCTGAAACAGAACCACGTGATAGTCTTAACGCGAAGGGTATCCAAGTAACGGATTTACAAATTTAGTAATTTTCATAGTACTGTATCACGTGATCAGTTTCTTGAGATAATCAATTCATTTGTTCCATGATCTGGCGAAAATGGCAGAAGGGGTCCAGAGTAAAGAATCGTCGTTTTTCAGCAAGCCTACGACGTGGATAATTTTCAATCGAGTCAAGCAGTTCAGATATATGAACTCGGGCGATCGGATTTAAATGACCCGTGGGGCCAGGACTTTATGAATTTCGATTTACAGAATTGGTATTTGGGATCGTTTCCGGAATTGAAACGGGAAAATTTTACGGAATGGACTGAAAATACTAGATTCGGAAAACATGTGTCGGCCATTGAAATGAGTGCGCTTAGAAAAATCAAGGAAGTAGAACCACGAGCCGTTACACTTCATGGGCAGTCAACACGATTCAAGTGTTCAACGACTGGAATTGGAAATCTCAGCGAAACCGCAACTTGGTGAGTTTAAAATAATTCCCGAAATACTCACTAGTAAATACCAAGAACTTGCGTACTCTATATATCACGTTTTGTGCAGTGTATTTGAATCCAGGGGCGCATATGGATTCCCCTACCCCCGAGGACTTTATATCCGATCTGTTCCGATATTCTACGGTACATGAGAGCAAATTGTTCATGATATGAACTTTTCAGAGGATGCCGGGAAGGAAAATGCTACTATTGAATGTGCGAATTCCTATCATAGGAGATGAAGTTATCCGCTTCGAGAATTATGCTCCGCCAGACCATGTCAGTGTCTTTTTTGTAAAGATTTGTGCATTTTGATTTAAACTGTAATCTGTTTTGTTTTTTCCCTCTTGTTTTTGTTAGTTCATTAAAATCTAGAAACGATATTTTGTCTCATTTGCATAGCTCCTCCTACATCCAGGGTATAACAGTTGGATATTACTAGCTTTATATCACATATGTGATATTTAATATATCGCCACACTTATGTTGATATGAGAAATACACCCTTGCGAAGATCAAAGAAAAATTTGTCGGTCATGGGATAAGGCATACCTAGGCATCCTACGTGGTACCACTGGTCACAGTTATCACATGCAATAGCACGCTGACCCCACCTGCAGGCCTTGTGACAAATCTGGCATGGGTACTTGGGTGGGCGAGCTCACAGTCAGCTGATCTTAGTAGTAGTATTAAAATGCTTATATATAGATAGTTTTCGATAGGCCAGAATTTAGCGAGAGTTATTTCCCGTTGGCCGCCATACTGGAGGTCCAAATGCTCATATTCCTTCATTGTTCAACCAATTCAAAATTTTTATATTTGCTATTTTGAATTAGAAATCATTATTTTTCTGAAGTACATAAATTTTTGGAAGCCTCCTTTACTTAAAAAAAATTATTTATGAAAGATTTTCCACCAAATATTTCTACTACAATCTGTGGATCAAGCTTATCAGAGGAGTTCGAATTACAGACTGGAGTAAAACAAGGATGTCTGCTCTCCCCTCTTCTCTTTTCATTCTGCATTGACTGGATTATGCGAGAAACCATCAAGAATAAGCGGACGGGAATTACTTGGGCCATGACAGAGATGTTAGAAGACCTGGATTTTGCAGATGACATAGCACTGCTATCACACCGCCATCGTGACATGCAAGAAAAAACAAAACAACTAGCAGAAACAGCAAGGAAGATTGGCCTTAATATCAACAACACCAAGACCAAGATCATGAAGGTCAATACTAAATCAGAGGAGCCCATCACCTTAAATAACGAAGAAATAGAAGAAGTCTCAGAATTTGTCTATCTAGGAAGCAAGATCACCACAGATGGGAACTCAGAGGTAGATGTACTAGCTCGAATTTCAAAAGCCACAGGAGCGTATGTTGCACTAAGAAACATCTGGAGGTCAGCAAAGATCAGCACAAACACCAAAATAAGGATCTTCAAGAGCAACGTGCTTGGGGTCCTCCTATATGGTGCTGAAGCATGGAAAGTTACTAAAACCATCTCAAACAAGCTAGATACCTTCCAGACACGCTGCCTTCGCAGAATACTGTGCATCTTCTGGCCAAATACCATCTCAAATGAGGAGCTATACAAAAAGACCAACACCACCCCTCTATCTCAAGTTATAAAGAGAAGAAAATGGCTGTGGATAGGGCATGTATGTAGAATGCACCCAACTTCCATCCCAAGGGTTGCTTCGAAATGGACACCACCTGGCAAGAGAAAGAGAGGAAGACCAAAAGAAACATGGAGAAGATCTGTAGAGAAAGAGATGGGAAAGAACCGCTGGACATGGGGACAGATACAGAAATGGACACAGGACAGGCCAGCATGGAAGTCTCTGGTGACGGCCTTATGTGCTATCCAGCACGAAGAGGATTAAGTAAGTAAGTAAGTATTTCTACTACAACCTCTTAAACTTGGTAAGACAAAGAGGGAAAATCACCGAGTCGACCTCCAATATGGCGACCAACAGGAGGTAACTTTCGCTAAATTCAGGCCTATCGAAAACTATCTATAGCAAGCGGTCATTCTTGCTGCGCTTCATGAGTGGTTTGTACAGAGGATTTGAAATGAAACAATGAGACATACTGGATGTGTCTTATGTTAACAGAGGGCATGGATAACAGTTTCATCACTATAAGTAGCTACAGAAAGCCAGAAGATTGTTGATAATGTCAGTACAAGTGTCATTGTTTACATATTTTACAAAACCGGAATTTCATGATCGAAATAGGTATGATTAGCATAATTTTAAAGTCATATGTGGCGTATTTTTGATAAGTTCAGACTAACTAAAATAAAAAATATCTTTCTAAATGTTTTGTTACTTTATAAAAAGATAGGACTTTCCTGCAAATTACACAATTTAAATCAAACGCATTTCATGGATATCCGAGATTTAAAACAAGAACTGATTTTTTTCCGACTCAGAATTAAATATTAGACACAGTTTAAAGTCACTTTAATTATAGAAATGTGGGATATTCAAGTTCCAAATCGGTGAAAAATTTAATTTGAACGTAAATTAGCAAATATCATGTAAATCTACTCTTAATCTCGTATTTTTATTTTTTAGCTCAGATACGCCATATATAGCTTTAACATTTACATGGTAGATATTCTTATCTGGATTGTTCGGTAGTTTGTTTGGATCAGGAACCCTGTATTCATAGAGATTTAATTATATTCCTATGATATATGGCTGCTGGATTTGTAAGGAAAACCTTAAAAATTACATAAGTTCAGTACATCGACACTAGATAGAACGTTCTATGGTTAAAATTATATTGTCCTACGGACCCGGTTTAACCTGTGGTGAGGGCTTGCAGGCGCGTAGCTGCCTATACGCAAGTACGCAAGTGCGTACACATCATTTTCCAAAAAAAAGAAAGAAAGAAAAAAAAAAGAAAAGAAAGAAGGAAAAAAGAATAAAAAAGAAAGAGAGATATATTCGGAGAAAAAGAGGCACTATCTGTCTTTCAAATTATTTTACGTCTTATTGTTTCTATTCAAATTTTGTTCAGAATATTGTTAAAATCCAGTCTTTTATAAAATGAATTCAAAATTCTTTCAGTAAGAAAATATTGTTGAACCAAAATTTTCAACTGTTAATCCGCGTAATCCTGATTATCCGGACAAATACACGTATATATTTGTTGAAGGAAAGCGATCTAAGTGACATTGATCTAAAGAAAAAGTTACAAGGGTTTTGGACAACTATACAAGAAATTCCGTTGAAGTAATGAATAAATATCGATAAACAAAAAAAATGGCAAAATTCAAATTACTGAACAAAGTAAATAAAAATATAGATCATGTATGAATATCTTCTTTAACTGATGTTACCAATTTATAGAATTTAAGTACTCTCACATTGTTTAA